AGTTAGAGTCTAGTAATAGAGTTAACTAGGTAATGGATGAGTAAGGAGGAGATTGCTCACTGTATTGATCTTCCTTGTACCTCGTCCTCCTTGTCTATAAGGCTGTGAGGATCGAGGGAGAGGTGAGGTCCGTGAAGAACTGAGTGGCTGAGCTACGCTGAGTTAACCTTATGTCAGCGATGGCCGGTCACCAAATTTGGATTGTCCCAACATGGACTAGCAGGAAAATTACAATCGTGCGCGTGAGTCGTGATATGATACACTTTGAAGATACCGAGTTGGTTACACTACAACACGGGCCATTGAATAATCTCCTCCTCCAACTGATTGTACTGCGAGTCCTCCAACTCCTGGGAGTGTAACTCATCTGGAAATTCAACACTACCGACTCCGGGCACCACCGATGCCAATGCCTGCAGCAACTCGAAGGTGGCTTGGCTATCAACCACCGATGACTGTGGTTCTGGGGCCGACTCGTAATCTGTTGACGGAGGCGACGCACTGTCAGACGATGGAAGGATGGGATGGTCTGAAGGCGGTGGAGACGACGGGGGCGCACTGGTAGGTGATGTTGAGATTGGCGTGGGCACCGTGACTAAGTCTGAGCCTGGACTCGGAAGTGTGATGGAGGATTGTATTGGTAGGGTGTGACTCTGCGAGTCAGGCCCAGCGCTTGCACTGGGATGCTCTTGATCTCCTTCTGAACTTGGAAGGGGGATGTACCCCATAAAACCTCCAGACAGCGCGACATAACTACTGTGTTTTGTGTACGAACGTCTTTGGCCTACTGGCGGTTGTGCGCCGTCATACAGATTCTCCATATCAGGGTTGAAGGTTTGGAAGCGTGGCAAATTCGAAGGACCTGTCGTGCGCATAGTTAGTGCATGATCATTGAATCAAACGGAAAAAATAACCTGACATCTCAGGTTGATGATTTGATTCAGACTCAACGCGGTGGTGCTGGTCTGGCTTTAAGTGGGGGTTCCGAGCAACGTTTTAAATGAGTCATTGAGAGCGTTGGAAATGATATCGTTACATAAATAAGCCTCGAGGTTTCATCGTTGAGCGCTCAGGAGCTTGAGTCAGGTTTGACTCAGCCTATTGGACGTCACTTAGTACTAGTAGTCATTCAAATTTACGGTACGACTCACAAAGACCGTCAACAGATATCTGAATTTACTTGGTAAGTGCTATCGTTGGTCACAAATTCCCACCACCGTTAGGGAGTGGGTCATACTAGTATAGTTTGTGATTTCTTCGTAACCACCGTGACCGCTGACGTTGAGCCTGGGCTGGAAGTTCATGATCATTATGTACTTGAGTCGTCTTAAGGAGATGTAGTATCACGTGCCATTAGATTGGTGAGCGTCAATGGCCTAAGCTAGCCTGAGCCGTGGGCAAATGATACCCATACAACCGCCATGATTCCAAACTGATCAACCAATCATTCGTGCGAAAACAGATAATAATAATTCTGCACCATACCTGGGCAACAATGAAGCGGTTGTAAAGGAGCACCCGATGGAGAGAAGCTAGCCCAGTACTTGCGTCCCGAATACACCCGCGAGGATTGCAATGAGTAACGAGTGCTGTGTACGCTGAGCACCGGCTACCGGAGTCCGAGTCTTCAGCGATATGGGTAGCGGAGTCATCTGTGCGCTCCGTGCATCCCTGGGGCCTACGGTTAGAACTGCATCATTCTCGTTTTCACTAAACAATGAGTTTATCAACCGCATGCATCATACTCCAGAATCTGAATGCATCTTTTCCGGAGACTGAGATGATACTGTCGTGGAACAAAGGAGAAATCGTCTTACAAGATGTCTGCATTAGGTCCAAGGACAAATCTGCAGCGTTGGATGCCATTTATGCTATGGTCTTCAATGTAACCTGTAGCCTTTTCATGCGTATCAACGTACGAGAGAGCGCCTAAAGAGGACCATAAGAAAACACTCGCCTTTCTGATCAGTCTAACGAGCCGAATCCTGTGAGAGCTTGCTGCGACCGACAGCCGTTATGGTAACGTCCAACGTCGCCAAGTGTCAGCATCCCGGCGTGCAATTTAAGACATGGACAAAAATCTCGATCTTTCGATGGGGTCGAGTAATACTGACACAAGAAATCGAACAGATGTTGGCGATCAGCGTATCGATTTGCAGTCGCTCCACGCTAAAATATCCTGTGACCGCCTTCATAAGCCGGACATGGAGGGACGTTCAAGCCTACCTTACGAGGTGAACATGGGAGCAGAGGATGAAAAAGGTGCGTGGCAGAAGACATACCAGCTATGGGTACTATCCGAAATGATACTCCCAATCCACGCCATTTTTTCCCCTTTGCTGCTTCCTTTTGCGCATCATGCCATAACAGCGGATGCAGCAGGTAAGTATACCCTCCCATCTGCCTGGTATGCCGATATTCTCAGCCACTGGCGCTGACACATTTGACGAGGAAGACAAGCACGAAGATGCCTGTCATCGAGCTGATGGCGACGGGTGTTGGCTGGGTGACATGAACCTGATAAGCCCCATGTTTACTAACTGTTGCAATGAAATTGGGTCCATTCCACGCGGATGCAGGCATTAGCGCGGACCGCTCATGGTGAAGTCCTGCGGGTGGATGCTGGGAGGGCGAATGTAAAGAGTGCTTGTACCCTCCCGTGGACGCGGAGGCTTATGGGGACTGTTTGTGCCGTGGGCAGGCTTCCTCCTTGAAGGAGTTGAGATATGATTTGTTAAAGGGGGCCGGAGGCGAGGGCCTTGGTATTTGGATTGCCCGGATGGCTGGTTGTCGCTTGTGCTGGAGTTTGGGTAATTGATGAATAAACGGAATTTATTGGACAGGTGTGTAGCGTGCGGGCACAGCTTGAATGCACCAGAACCGCCTCCATCTAGTGACTAAGGTAGAAGTTAGCTCTGGGTAGAGGGGATTGCTAGTTAATTTATACGAACACAATAAACGACGGGCAGCGTGCAGGAGCGCGCAGTTGTGCTGCCTGGTGGTGATGCTGTTGCTATAAATTCCAAAAGCATCCGAAATGACAGCATTCCGAAACTTTCTGGATGGCCAAATTGGGCCAGGACGATGCGGACAGTACGGACAGTAGGGACGGGACGGACGGGGCGGACGGTCCTTTCCAAATTTCCGGTATGTACTTTACTTGTATAGCACCCGTACATCCGGAAAATGCCGAGGACATTAAACTTCGTCCGAATCGGGACATTCCTCTTAGACGCGATAACCAACTCGACGACGAAGGTAAGCATTTGTTCGCCCTCGATTCAATCTTATATCTACGTAGTACTAGTATGAATAATCATAACAATGCCAACGGTGGTGGAGGAGGAGGAGACCCAAACGGAGGTGCAAATCACCCGGTGCGTTGATTATTTCTTAATACTTGCTACTCACTGATGATCTACAGATCCCTCCACACCTGCTCCAACACATTACAGCTCTACTCCTAAGGACCAGTCTCGCGCGCACTCGCGCGCGCCTTATCCGAACTCGCGCGCACTTACGCGCGCCTTACCTACGCACGCGCTATGCGCGCTTCGCGCGCCTCCTCATAGGTCTTCGCGCTATCGTCCGTCCATCCGTCCCATGTCCTTACTGATTCGCTGGTGCGTTATTTCTATCTTATCCATTGAACTAATAAAATCTTCGGTCCGACATCCGCGCTACTTATGGAAAGTTTATTTAAACTTAGTTATAATTAGAGTTGATATGGTTACTCGGTTCGGGAGCGCGCTCGGAAGCGCGCCTTCTCCATTCTTAAATACAGAAGGGTTTCCTTTAGTTCTGGTACTTACTTTTCCTTATCTTTGTGTACTGGAAAGTGAATAGATCACCTCCCCACTTGTTATCTGATCATATCCTCCTGTCAATCCTCCACCTTTGCACTCACTCCTCAGTAAGATCTTGCCTCTAACGCTTTAGGCGCGCCTTCGCTTCAACCAAGACCTCGCGAGGTGATCTTCAGGATGCCGGAAAGGCAGTTGGTGAGTGACGAACTCATTCGCGAGCCAAATCACTGACCTTGTCGAAGGAATTCATGTATGTCTCTTGGGCTGCCGCGCGAACTCGCGTGCGCCAACAAGTTTATCACCCGGACTTACCGTTCGTTCCTTACCCACCGGCTCCGGTCTGGCCAGAGAATACATGGGCCATGATGGTGCTATGGATTGCGCGGGAGCGTAGAATGTTCGAGTTGGAGATGTTAGAACTTGAGTATATCCTGGGACTGCGAGGTGCGCGTTAGTGCATATAGTAGGTAAGCCGTTTTAAAACAGAAAAATTCCGGGTGGACTGACGATCTTCAGACCATACGAACGAAGATCAAGGAATCTAGGAGGCCAAGGATAGGATTGAGCTGCTGCATACATCGAGTAGATGTATGCTACAATATGTACACTAAATGCCCCATACGAATTCGACGAAGCTGTTCCAGAAACGAGCGTGGCGTTGATAGCTTCGAGTTCGAAACGACTCGGATCCTAAGAATAGTAAAGCAACGCATCCGATTTGAAGCGAGGCTACTAGATGAAGAGACAATTAGTCGTGACGAGAAATTTGCAGCAGAAAAAAACTGACAGGCGGCCGGTGAGTCATCGTGGCTTAGGCACGGGAGCCTGGGCACTGGTGCTGTAGTTAAATATGATCTTCTATTATGTAGACAGCCGCACCAAGAGATGCCATTGTAGGAACGGTGAGGTTCTTGCCAAGCGGAACGCCTCATAGGCAAATTCAATATCTTGACAAGGTCACTCGCGTCATAGCCAGCGTTGTCCGCGAGGACTCGGACAGTCGGTACTTGTCTCAAGGCATGGCTGAATGCCTGTTGTTCCCTATGTACGTCGTTAGAAAATCAAAAAAGAAAAGCAAGTATGCAATTGCCCGTTCAGCCCGCTCGAGCTCAGCAAGCTATCCTGCCGAGTGTACTTTCTTACTCTGGTTCCAAAGATCTTGATCTAGTCAGTGGCTATCACTTTTGAGAGACCGTGCCTTAGTTCCAGATCAATACGAGATAGTCGCACACGTACAGGTATTTGCGATTAATATGTCCTCCGTTCCCGAGTTCAGAGCAATAGCTTTGAAAAGGAGTACGCTCGTGAGATAAGTAAGGTGGGACTGTGTTTTTCATCCTACCTTTGTCCAAGTATGAGTCTGTGAGTTTGCCTCCGACCTTTTCAATGATCTGGATGTGCTCCAGATCCGTAGAACCCTCGAAAGGTCAATGAGCATACAAACAGTAAACACAACATACCTTCAATCGAATAACAATATCTACTGTTAATTGTTAATCATGGCGTGCACAGTAGTCATGTTATTGTCGAGTGGAAAGAGAGACTGAAAAACAATTAGTTAAATATAAATTTTGAAAAGAGGAGTATTACACCATGGGCGAATAGATTTGGATCAACGGTGTCGATGTCAATGCGAGCCACACCTTAAAGTGCACAGATCTCAGCGAGCACCACGTGTGCCCCGCTATGACTATTGGTCGATCGAGGGCTGGGTTTCCTCCACGGACCGCAAGTTGGAAGTCCTCCCAACTGCGTTTTGGCTTATCGAGCAACACCTTGGACGCATTGGAACCACCCTTGTCAGGTTTACAATACGGATAAAGTTCCTGGACCACCGCACGTCACCTCAAGAAAACACAATCAGTGTGTCATGATTCGGAGATTGGTGGGAGTGGAAACTCCTGCTAGTGAGGCCAAACGGCCTTAAATCAACCAAATGCCAAAAGTACGATGGATGGGAGCGAAGAGATCTCTAGCTCGAGACCAGAAGGCCTTGGAAGTGCAATTACTGGCACGATGCCCATGACTCGATTCGAATGAGCGGAGGCCCTGGGTCGAGTGAGAAGTTGGGAACTTGGTGGGAATAAATTTTCTCTTATTGTTTGGTTGCTGTTTTGTTGACTTATGAGCCTTCACAATTGAAGCCCATCGAGGCTGGGGCTTTGTGAGTTTTTTTCATTACCCTACCCTACGAGATGAGCTATCAGTACTATCACTGAGACATGCATAGTGCTCCGCACCTGGCAATGCCCTATAGTTTTCGGTCTGCCACCACTACTAATCGGATGATTGACATGACTCGCACAATGCGGACTCGCCCGGGTTCGCTATTCTCGCACCTCTCGCACCCACATTTTGAATATGGACAAGTTGGGTTCATCGTTGTAAGTGAATGGCGGCTCATGTTTCATCCTTCTATCAAGGACGCCTTTTGAGTCTGATTTTGAGCTGAATATCTCTCTGCTCCTACCGGCGCCTACGGTAGATTCATGTCAGTCAGGGTTTTTCAAGATGATCCAGCGAGTCTACGGAAGCTCGTACTTTTATTAATTTCATGTCCAGAGACACGATGAATCTGGATCAGTGGAAGCTGGCTTGCCAACCTCACGATATGAGGTCCTTTCCCTTCTTTTGCCGCAGTTTTTTCGATAATTTCACTCTCACAAATATGCCTGCGGAGTTGTCGCCATCATACAACGAATCTTTGGCATGGAGTCCCTTGATCACGACCAAGTTTTGGTACGCCGATTGCTCTTATCAAATTGAAATGACTGACACACTGTACAGAATATCCACCACCTTACGGGCGCGAGGAGGGGAACTCAGCTAGCGGGTTAGAGAATGTCGTGGGCACTATCATCGCGTTTATATGGTAGGCTATTCATTGTCCACCCGCCGAGTTCTCCTCATACATACTAATAAAGATACGTCAGGGCCTGAAACTACTGGCTATTCCGAGCCGGAAACTTTACGGGATGCTTTTCCACCTACCAAAGCGCGTTATCACATTTCTGCCATGTCCTTAAGCTAATCCTCATTGGGACAATCCTCATTGGGAATCGCCCAATCGTTTAGCGAGGCAATATATATAATGGTCCAGGTGAGTTTTCTGACGCTGCATCTTTCTCTCTTTTCATTTTCGCTCTTCATTTTCCCTTCGTCACTCTTTTCGTCACTCTTTATTTCGTCACTTCATTTCACACTTCACCTCGCCCTCACTCCTGCTATGTCTGAGCCAGAGCCTGACCATCACCATCAGACACACACCCTCGCCCTTCCAGACCTCTCTGGGGCAGTTCCTACCTCTGCAGAGGCAAGGGCCAAGCGCCGCATTGCCGCATTAGAAGAGGAGCTGCAAACGATACGGCAAGAAAGAGGAACCAAGCAGAGGTTCGTCATATCTCATGTCACTCGCTCCATTCCTCTTGCTCATTGACTATCAAAGAAAGACAACCTACTATGTTTCTCAAGGCAGGGCGATTCGCCGCATGGTTGTTCTCTATACCAGCTTAGAAGACTTAATCGCCGAAAATGATCGCAGGTACGAAGAGCAACCGGTTGACAATACCACAGAGTACGTCGTCGTTTTTGTTCCGTACCAATTTTAATTATCTTCTTCAGGCAAGATCGCTTGCAACGTGGTTACATCACACTCGCGCAGGTTGTGCCTTGGCTACACCAACAACTTGCAGAACTCGACATTGATGACGCCGAAGAAATGCTGAAAAAGGTGCGTACTCTCCCCTCAAACGCTTATCGAGCTGGATCCTAATGATTTTCTAGCTCAAAAGAGGAGCTGATGCTGCCCGCGGTGATGATACGTCCACTCTCAAGGACCTCATTGCTGCCTGGGTCAATCAAGATTTCCGTCCGTCCTGTCTACTCAAGGCCGATGACAAGCACTCGCGCGGCTTCGTACATGACACTTGCGGAAAGTTGCTCTGCCCCGCCGAATGGGACTGGAGTGATGCACGGTGAGTACCAACCTCTGTCGGCTAGTATATGATGTTGACGCTTGAGAAGTGTGAAGGCCGGTATTCGCGACCGTACATCTGAGTACATCGTATCGGAGAACTCCTGGCCACTCTTCCTCTATGAGAATTACTCGTTCGACAGTAGCAACCTCGAGAAAGGCCTCTTCAAGTCCAAGATACTCGTTCAGGTCAGTAGCCAGTGTTAGTCCTCATGGAGATCTCAAAGTTTTTATTGTGCTAGGCTTTCAAAGCCACGTTTACATCGCCGTCTTCCGCAAGAGAAGCTGACGGTGATGGTGATGGCGCCGACATCCTCGAGAATAACAGGCGCGCCAGGCGCGCATTAAACCAGGCCAAGGTCAAGACGTGTGTGGCCTCGATTATCAACATGAGAAAGGTTACCCCTCGTTCCATTGCGTATGTTGTCTGTCAGGTGAGTACCAGTGGTTACCCACTATTGATATCTGAACATACAATCTTTCGCAGGTTCGTTTCGCTCTATCCGGCGTCACATCTTGGCGCACCGTCGACGGTGACTTCGATTACGAAATGTTCTGGAACAACATCGTAGACTTCTTCGAGGATGTCCCTGGCCCTGTCGCACAACGTAGAGTGGCCCAACTTCTCGAGTGGTGGACCAGGTAATGTATTGTTGTGCCTCGTACTACATCTCTAACCCTGCCGTCTAGGAAAATTTTTGGACGAAACCATCGTGAGGACCTAACACCAGAGGTCGTGTCCAAAATGTCCGTCACCGCTCTAGCCGACCAGAGAAAGGCGATGGAGGATGCCGCCTTTGACTCAGATTAAAACAAGCCTTCGTTTGCCTTTCCGTATAATCCAAGTCTACATTTACGATAATTGCTTTTAATATAATTAATGATATCGCAATTAGCGGTATATATATTTCTTGAAGATTTTGCGAGCAGGAATGAATTCATCGATAATGATAAGCATGCCAATTACTGCGAGATCGACTACATCTTCCGGTCTTGCGAAGTCATTGGGATACATTGTATGTAAAATGACTATGTTGGTGACTGCGGCAAGCAAAATTATCTTGGATACATGCGACATTAGCCCTGGAACATTGTCCTAGTAGAATACCACCGGTAGAGGAAGCCACGCGTGGTATGCGACTGACGACTATCAGCTGACAGTCGCAGTCATGAGGGACGCATGGAGGAAGCGACAGAACCATAACTGACATTGGTATATGAAAACATGCTCGGGCGGATAGGATAGTTGATAATAGAAAATCTATGCTGCAAACAACCTGTCCTGGTGACGAACATCTGTAACGTGTTCAAAATCGCACTATGTAAACGAAGACTGAGGATAACTTGCTGAATAAAGTACTACATAAACATCGCCATCTCCTCACAACCCCATCACCCTGCCCATTCAGTCTCCAAGCGACAGTTTGTTACTGCATGTCCGATTTATTGTGTCTAGAGTGACAGTGGAACAGAGGAACAATCGTTATTATCATTATTTGCCGCTGTCAAGGCCGACCAGAACTAACCAAATTGCTCTGCAAAGGCTATTCCAGAACTGTGCGCCTTCGTCTCAGTCGCTACAAGACTTCCTTGTAAAAGATTTTTCCGTTGTGAATAGAATGAGACCCATTCCATGACAGTCTTGAAATTGAGGCGTGATATCTACCGTGTCTTTGATACGGGATAATGCTGTATATATGCCGTGAGGTAAGTATCAACGTCAGGGAAGCACATTGAATATGTTTTCAGAACAAAGTAGCAAAGTACCTGAGACATGAGTGATGTCTCATTTCTGTGATGCACTCGATCGTTGCTCAGAGAGTGTAGCATATCAAATGAATTGAAAGGTACGCACGAGAAAGATATATAGTCGAATTAGGTATTTTCTTCGGGGACTGTCCTATCGGTAGACACGTATTTTGATGTGTTAATATGTATTCTATTTTTATGGTTTTTTAAAACATACCTCCTGTGTTTGAGTTCGCAGATTGTTTTTTGATGAAAAACACTCGGCTTACGATCTTTTCCGTGGAAGATTGAACGACACGGCAATATGTGGTTCCATCCGGCAGTCTGCCAATATCTTGCTTGATATAGCAGTCTAGACCAATAGCTTACGAAGATTCACACACCTCGTGACTGTGTAAATCGGACGTCGCAAGCAAGAAGGTCTAGAACTTCATGCGTCATATGTTGACGCATCTTTTCTAAGTGGTGCCGGAAGCACCTCGTTGACAAAATGCTTTCACGATACGTTTGATGTGGACTAGTCGCAGGATTCCGCGTGAAGCACGCCGTAGATACTTTTAGTCAGCCTAGGCAACCGTCTGCCGTGTACGAGTCAAATGACCGGTCTTCTACCAAGCAAAGCAGTTGTCAAACTCGAACTCACATTTTCTCATTATAAGGCCAAGCATCAACTGCAGCAATCCAGAAGGAGAAGGTAGTGTTCTAGCCTGTACATTTCGCATAATGGTCTGTTGATATTGGCTTGATAGAAAGACCTCGCACTAACGGTAGGTGGTGACTTCATGTGTACCTTGATGCTTCCGGACCTGCATTTCACTCTGTCTGCTTCAGTTTCACCCTCGCTTGCTATGAACGTACATGTAGGAGATGGTGCTTCAAGCATGGGACAACATGACTGGTTGTCTTCAAGAATCATCGTTCCTGTATATGGTCAAACATTTCTGTGTAACTACCCCCTCCACGTTTACGTAGATTGTGACGAATGTTATCTATATATAGCTTAATATGATATTCTAATTTGTTCACCAGTTCACTGATGGTATATTCTGAGTCGGCGATGTGGTATCTCCGAACTTCCATGAATGTTGGATCTTGTGATGGTTTGTCCTCAAGATTCAGGGGTTCAAGTTGTGTCCGGATTCAACATCAGGGCTGATAAAAGTGTTGCAACTTTCCAAGGCGTTGACGTGACACACGATGATCAAACGGAATAAAACGCGCTCAATCGAGTGGGGTGACGTTGTGGCGAGCCACGGCATTAGTAACTGTATGGCATAATCTGACTTCCGTTTGATCGAGGATACTCGGACAACCACCATCGCTGATTTCTTACTGCTAGTACTTTTCCTTACATTTTTGGATCTCTGGACTCTCGCTGTGCGCGACGTTGCTCGTATCTCGCCCTGTGCTCATGCATTCCCAGAAAGCCCACAGCCTTTTGGAGCGCAACACACTGTTTATGAAGAGCGTCAGATCCATTCATAGGTTCGATGGTGTGGTTTTACCGAAAGTAAACTTGTCACCGTCTTTCCACCTGAATTCCGCGACTTGTATGTAATGACATCACAGGAACTTATCGATCACCGGGTATACCTGCGCATCGATGTTTGGGCTATGCAAGGCGTATTTGAATCAAAACAGTCTTACATCAAGCAAAGATAGATACATTTTTGTGAGTCCGTTGACACGGCGGGATGCCTTTTGACGTTGACTTGACAGCTTTACTGCTACGTGGGATCCTTGTATTCGTTGCGATATCATGCCTTCTTACTGGAACCGAACTGTTTTCAGCTCCAGTGTGCTTTGGGCACTTTGGTGAGTACATGTCAAATCGAGAGTTCTACCATAGGCAACTCTTTGTCTTGTTTGACTCTTCACATCGGTACCAGTGATCGTTCGAGCACTGGTGACTGCACATGCACATGCTTCTGATCTTCGATCGCGTTTTACTCGCCGATGCCCGCCTCTACACTGCTATGTATAAAAGATGACTCGCATATGAGTGTTGAGCATTCATCACTTCTGTATTGATTGCTGCTGCTACCACTGCCATGTTACTCCACTCCGTGGCTATACTCGCTTGCGCCCTTAGCATTGCTGCTCATGCTGCTGCCTCACCCACAGCTTCCCTAGATGATTTGGATCAACGTGATGGCTTGATGGTTGGAGTTGACGTTGACGCCGGTGAGCATTTATCTATTCTGGCGTCCCTCCTAGCTAAGTCTTTCATAGAAGACGTTCCAGATAATGTCAATCTCAGCCAAAAGCGCGCCAATGATACCTTGCTTAGCGTTGATGTTGGTCAGTACCGTCTTTCTTCAAGTTGGTGGCTATTTGATGGTATTTCACCAGACGTCAGTGACATTCTGAACGATTTTACCGCAAATGTCTTCAGTCAGTAAATGACGCTTGTTTCACTCGACGGGCCGTGAAATGCCATATTTCTACTGTGCTTGGACTTCAGACTGCTGCCATGGATTTGTCGAGTAAATGTTATCATAGTTGTATGCGAGTGCCGCTATAGCCTATAACAATTGCGTGTGCCTTTTGTCGTCATTCAGGATATGCATTGCGTTCAGACTTCAGTCTCAACATGTAAAACACCTCTTACTCACTACCGGTACGCACTGTTCATGATTCAACTCAGGACAGGTAGTAAAAGACAATCGAGTGTTCGTTTCCATCAAGGTAAATGCAAGGCCTGCCATTGACTACGAAATAAGTATTAAGCCGTGCAACAAAGAATTTGCACACAAGAAACTGTAACAGTTTGTTGTGCTATACCACGAGTGAGTTCCATGCATTCGAGGTAAGTGAAACAAGCTTCTACAGAGTTACATACATGATAAGTTATATATATACTCGCAAATAAGTTGAAATGTTGCAACAATAATAACAAATGGACTGAAACATAGCATGCCTGCACCAGAGGTACAACAATCCGGGGGGTATACAATTGAAAGTCTCGCAAAGCCGCAAAGACAACTCCTGCTGGCTGGTATAAATATTAAATTTCGGATGTCCCTCCTGGATACAATCGCTTATGAGTCCTGTACTGTTCGCAAGACTTGTTTACACTCACTTGGTGTGGGACACGGAAATTTGGAACAGTAGTCATCAATCTCCAATTGCATTTCATGCAAGCCCGGCCTGCCTAGCATCCTGAGGAACATTCCGATGGTGCCAGTTACAGGGTCCATAACGCGCTTATTCTGTGAACCGAGAATATCTTCGAGGTCATAAGTGAAAAATGGCCATGTTAGCGCCATGAATCAAGTGTATTAACGAAAAAAGCTCACCGCGGGTACCAGGAGTATAAAGCAGGGCCGGTGTTGATAAAGGAATAGAAAACGCCAACTCAATAAACAAGAAGAAGCTGAAAAAGAGTGTAAGGAGAGCTGAAGTACGCATTCTGCTCTTAGACGATAATTGTGCAGGGGACGAGGGGTGATGGAACGTTAAAATTGCAAGTGCGGAGTAGGTCAGTTTATATGCTAATTTTTGTTTCGTAAATGACGCTATGGTTGTCCGGGTCCGAGTCCCAAAGAAAGATGGCTTCCATTCGGATTTGGCGATACTTAAGTACTGACGCGGCTACCGATGTAGAAGTGTAGCGCCATTTCGTGATCAATGGCAAAATGTAATGAAATGGAGAGATTGATCTTTTAGACTCAGATTACAAGTCACTAGTCACTTGTTATATCGGTGGACTTGTGGTGGACTCCATATTGGTCCTAGGCTACAGGAAAGGTCGAAACATTACAAGTCACGTGACTTCCTACCGAGTAGTCAAGGGCTTCAGAAGTTCAGAAGCTTCCAACTGGCCCTGGAGTCAGGGACAGCTGGCTGGAACCAATCGCAAAAGTCTATTCTCATTCCCCGTAATACGCAATAGTTTCAGTAAATCCTCGACCAGCATCACTTGTGCTTTTATCCATCATAGATTCGTATCTCCTCTAATACATGGATCTAATTTTTAGGATCGTGGTGTCGGAGGAAACCCAGGGTCTACCTCTAATCTGCACAACTTGGTCACGTCCTGTCACGCCTCGGCACAGTCAGCGGCTCTGGCTCTCCGAAGCCTTCCAAAGTGCGCGCATCCGAGTCGCGAAACGCTCGAAAACGGCGAATACCGTGACAGCATACTGGTATTATTAACCCAGAGTAAGTAATTCATCCAACACTGACAGTGATAATCACTATGATTGTACCGGTGGTGTTGCAGACAGCTTGCAGAATATATTTGATGCCCTGCATACATATCCCGAATCTGCACTGCGTCGCCAACTCGGAAATTTCGTGAACTGGGAATCGCGTCCTGTTGTAGTTCAGCAGTGTTCAAATCAGGGAAACGTAATTCATCACAGAGTGCTACACAATGCTACATAGCATTCTGTAGCGCAATCCAACCCGCTGATGTGACTTAATGTCATTATCGAGACAGCGCCTCTGAGAACGGGTAGGGTAACTTCCATAGCGTGGATTTTTCTCGAGGTCAGGGTCGTCACGTCACAATCAAAGTGTTACCAGCAGAACCCACTGGAACACACACTCAGCCTTGAGTCCGGTCTCGGGTAATCGCAAGCCTGCGGCTAAGTAGACACCGTGTGCAGAATTATTTGTGTATCTCCCCTGTCTGGTGTCACGCCATCGTACTTGCCATTGATTCTACTGGTTTTCCGACATCCCGCTCTTCATGCTCCAGGTAAATTTTTGTGAGTACCTATCTCTTAGTGTTACACTGATGAATATTATACTACAGACATATCGTATAAACAGAAGCGGCTAACATTGCTCATCAACAGCTTGTCGCGCCTCTGCTCCCAACACATCCAGTATTTTGTTCCTCGACCGCACTGCCGCCCTTCTTTGCCTTCTCCTCTCCATTAGATGCTCCTCAGCTTCGTCTTGTGCAATCAAAAAATCCAGGTAAGCTTGTTCCGCCGGACGAAGAAAGTTGTCAAACGAGTCATCAGAATGGAGTGCCGAAATCTCTTCGGGTGATGGCTCAAAATTAGTTGTGCAGCCGAGGGATGCCACCGACGGTGCAATATCCAAAGGTCCAATCGTTTCACCGAGTTGCATTGTCTTGAGATATCGCTGAAGGACGGCATTGGGAGGTGTGGCAAATGGATTTTGGACGTCCCAAACAAAATCTCTTGAACTACCCAATAGATCTTCGTTATTTCTCGCTTGACATCTGCATGCAAGAGGTCTTTTTGTCTCTTCAATTTCGTCGGGCTTTGAGAATGACCATGCACCGTCGTCGTTGACGGTAGTTGACAATTCTTTGCCTTCCTCGACAGGTGGCTCGTTGAAGCGTAAGGGTCCCAAGACCACGCGTTGCGTATACTCCCTAGCCACTCTGCGCTTCTTGTTCTTTATCAAGTCCATTCCTAGGCCCTTACGTGGCTTAAAGATGGTCGCAGCGCTTGGGCTGCGACTACCTGCACGCTTTGCACCTACGAGAGCCATCATCTCTCCCAGCTTGTCGTAAACTTGGCAAACCTCTTCATCTGCAGATGAGACTGTAGCAAGGCTCCCATCCTGGTCCACGTGATTGCGTGTGAGTGTAATACCGAGGATTTTGGCAGCCTTGTGATCTGAGTTACCAAAAGCCTTTCGCTCGGCGGGGGTGAGTCTGTTTGTGAGGGACAGTGCCGGACTGTCGGTGGTGCTTATCGAAACAGCGCTACCGGAGCACTTCGTGACTGTTTGGATGGACATATTCACCATATTATTGCAAGGCCGAAGTCAAGGAAGAAAGACGCAAGGAAGAGTGAGCGATTTGTGGTAGCCTCCATCGACACTGCGAGGTGCATCTTTATATCTCCAGTACTGTGGACGGCTTTGGCGCGCTCGACCGTCCACAGCTGTCCACAGTGCCTATAATAGGTCGGTGTGCAAGCTTAGTGGCATGTCTTTGTTCATCTTGCTTTGATTACCAATTTTGACAGGTGGTCCACTGTGGAGTCTTCAGTGACGATAGGCTGCGTAAAAAGGCCCGGGGTTGATTCCCTCATAGTTGATACGATGGACACTTGAATGTGAGGGTATGATATTGATCATCCACTCGCGATAGAGCAGAGTGAGTCTGGTCATCTATACAAGTTCCTCGCAACAGAACCGCATCGACTACCACATTCACCTATATGTTTGTCTCATACCAACAGATTTTATGATATTTGCATGACTTTAGGACGTGATCTGCTTCCATTATCACGTCGTTTTAATAGGCCAACCTCTGCTCACCTACGCATATGATCAAGCTTCCTAAAGCTCCCTGGTTAATTCAACTATGTTCCTTGTGAGACTATCTTCTTGGTGCATATATCTTCGGTGACATCTCGCAGTGTACTAATACCGTTCGAGTTCTTTGGACAGATTCTGGAGGACCTCGATCAGTGCCAGCTTTGTGATGTATAATTATTTTAATGGTTATCAATGGCGTTTATCGCTAAGCCCCGCGCCTTAACCTCAGCCTATTCGCGATCAAATGTTTGATGTGTGGAAGGGAATATGATATCATAGAGCGAGTCTTTCGACACCATTCTGAACAGCGCCGTTGTAACGAGTTTTGCTTTGTCGTCCAATCATGATTGTGATTATATAATATCCAGACAGGACTTCTGGTACTCCAAACGTTCACTTGCATCCGTTCGTCCATAACGCTGACTTTGGTAAATGTTCATTGACCGACAGAACACTAGTCACCACCATCACACCAGTTGTAGAAGCATGGGAGGAACTTTGGCACAAAACTGCCAGAGATATGATGAATGAACAGGATTGATGATGCATCATCTGTAACTTAAGTTGACAGGCTCAGCCTGCCAGTGATGCCATCATCCCTAGGTGACAGCATGCCTGTAGTAAGTGCCACCCATCAGCGCTCAGCTTCGTCTCCTGTTCATCACGGTGGATATATAGTACACAACACTAATAAGCTTTTCTTGATGCAACCCACAGAGGGTCACCTGTGAGCTCTCAAATCTCACTGACGTTGTCAACACTCGAGGGCACCCCATACTTTGTTATGTCCGCACAGCAGCAGTCAGCGAGCATTGCTGTTCAGCAATTGACTCTTACCATTGTATCATTCACTCTTGTGGTGTACGATCATGCTATCACATTCGCTCAAGAGGTACGTACTTTCGTCTTCATGGTCGATGACAGTCTAACTCTGATTCACTGCCATCATTTATTTTAGGTGACTTTCTTTTGGTCCAGTCCATGGTCACCGTCAAGAATACTGTATTTAAGCGTAAGGCCATTACGAATTATTCTTGTCAGTGACTGATTTAGGTTCGACAGATCCGATACTTGGCTCTCGCGCAAGTTTGGTGTGTCTGACTCCGTTTAATAAAAAAAATGCACTAGAAATGATAATATTGTTTAGTCTCACTGCTCTGGCACAAATAGGAGCAGCCAAGTTCTATAACTATCCGGTGAGTTTTTGAGCTGCACATACCATCGTTGGGGTCTTACATGCATCGTTCTACAGGAGTGAGCTATTTCGTATGACAAGGCAATAGACCGACTTACAGATTATGTAGACTCGGCTGGTGTCCTACAGTGGACTACGCTGTTAGATTAACAGTCATGGTTCTATGCCAATGTCAGTCCGTTGCGCATCGATCGATATCGATCCCACTGAATCGACTGGTATACAGGTGTTATAACATTGCGAGTATGGCATCTGTTCCCTCGGAGTTGCCTCATCAGATGGCTGGCAGTCACTGTTTTCGTCGTTTGCTTGGTAGTAGCTGCAATATTGGGCGCCATCGAGTATAATGCAATCAAGAGTGTCACGAACAGCAATTTAAGCTCGGCACGCCTTACATTTACATTCATCATCTATGTGCCAGCCTTGGTTGTCCATACGACTATGTTCTTACTTACGCTATATCGCTTTCGCGTCGCCCCCAGAGCCTTGCAGCAACACGGGATGATCCACCGATTCGTCAAAGAGTAAGCCCCTTATTGATCACAAGTTCTACCACAAAAGCTTATGTTTGCTTAGGGGGATGTTCTTGTATTCGTTTGCAGCCGGTGAATATATCTCGATTCTTTTCGTTTAGCACACGCTCAAGAAAATAACAGGATCGCTACTGTACGAAATCATCAGTCTTTCTCTAACTAGTTCAGAGGACATAACCGTAAGTTTTATGGCCATAGCTGCACGAAAGACTCGTAACCATTGCCAGAATTTCTATAATCCAATTGATATGGGAGGGTAAAATTGTTCCATCCATGGTAGTTCACTAAAGTTCACGAGCAACATCTTTCACCCAGAATAGCAATGGCAGCTACGGCTGTCTCTATCTGTCGCGCGATGCTAAGCATCCGGTCCTTGGCTGCAACTTACCATGTTGATCCGGCATGGTTGCTCAACCATGCGGAACTCAGTCGTGTCCAATGGAGGAGAGGACACACTGAAGGAGAAATCTACGTTGAAGTCAGCGAGCTCGAGATGGATGTGATTCTTCCGTCCAAATCTCCGGCATTACCTGCTGGGAATATCGGAAGAGAAGACGAAGTGCAAAACCATACCTAACTTGTATATCTGGCACATGATTCCTTTTTTATCTTATACTTACAGTATGTAGATATACGGCGTCAAATCGTTCAGACAAACTGGCATCTTCAACGACATTATAGCAATCTAATCATTTGGTACCGTGGTGTTGTAGACGAGTCTCGGATGGATGCTCTATTTTCGAGGTGTTCGATGCGGTGGCACTGCTTGCTTGACTTACAGTGCGCGTCACTTAGCACCACTAATTTTGAGTAACGTTTTCACCCCTTTGAAAGAAAAGAGACTTTTACATCATCTTGTAAAAACGATCCCTTTCAATGAATAAAGGGATATGGACTCCACATCAAGCATGAACGCAGCGTACTTCTTGAAGAAAACAAACCCACCTCAAATGGAGCAGGAACTGCACTGCCGACAGTCAGGCCTCTTGACAAAGCAATTAAAGCAATATATGACATTGTGTTGAATGTAAGTTCATGCAAGGCATTTCGTCGATATATGCACTTACCTTTGCACAGAATGCAATCCGTCACACGTTCGATGAGTATTTCCAATGCTGTACTATTCAACTTCGCCAAGCTCGAGATTGACATCCACATCCACTTCTACGAAGTCATGAGTAGTGGATATCAAAATAACAATAGACGTACATGATTGTGCGCTATCGTCACCCAATAGTCAAACATCCCGAAATAGTGATGGGGATGAGGATGAGTTGTCCCGACGCAAGTTCGATTTCAACGACCTCCGTATCACCAAGGGCATTCCCGTACCAGACTCGAACACCAAGATGATTCGCCCTAGCAGGATGCAGTGATAGTCAGATGCGAAATTAGTGTTTACAAGTGCGAGACAGACCATGAATCCCATGGGAATGCTGGCATGTTGTCGTCATAACAAAAGGATCAACGACTGCGACTATCTTGGAACTTTGACCCTGATTATCATACTACTCCATGTCGATTTTGAAGATCCATTGAATTTCGACAGCAACTCAGCCATCGAAGTAGGCACAGCAAGTAGATTTTCCGTTACTTCTCCATAGCGGATGGATTCAACACACACATGCGAGTAAGACTTAACAAAGCAGGTCAATGATTTGCGAGAACAACATCAGCGTGGATTACGAAGTCTGACTCTCCCAACAGGCAAGTTGTTATTGACTGTTGGAGTTGACCACGGTCAGCTAAAGAGCACTGGTCACAGGTACCTAAACAAGGCCTCTCACCGTCGTAGAAAGTGTCCGTGCAGTGAGTGCTTTGAGTGTGTAGCAATCTTTGTGTCGTGCCCGCCATTGCCGATAAGACGACGAGCACCCACGCCACATCACGATTGTGTGCGTGGCAGAGCTCGAGATATGAAGTTCGAAATATCATTGATGGAAGTTACAGCTCGAGAGTCGATACAGACAGATCTGGTTAGGAGAACACAACGAGACTTTCCCGAATTCATCCTGATAGCCTATTATCATGCCCCAAAGCCCGGTACCAGTGTTATAAGGCGACCGAACGTTGTGGTTTCAACAGCGATCCCTCATGTTCTCCGTTCAGATTCTCTCTCTGGCGACTTCGTGTATTATTTCCCTGATTGTTGCTTTGCGTCTGAGTCGCAGACGCGTCTATCCCTTACCTCTGCCGCCTGGCCCTCGCGGTTTACCATTTCTGGGAAACGCACTGCAATTGGACACCAAACGACCTTGGCTCACATATCTTGCTTGGGAAAGATATATGGTGGGTAGTCCAAGGTCTCTTCAAGTACTTGGATTCAATTTTATCCCTTTTCATAGGCAAAATCATTCACTCTCGCATCCATGGGATCGACATGATCATCATAAACTCTGAATCGATCGCGCGGGAGTTGTTGGACAAGCGCTCTGCAATCTATTCGGACCGCCCTGTCATTCCCACCAGTGAAATGTACGTCTTGCTCTCATCCAGCCTATTCCGATCAGCTGACGAGGCAGGGCTGGACTGGGATTCAATACTGTACTCCTTCCGTATGGCGATACTTTGCGACAACATCGCAAGATCTTCCATCAGGTCCTTAGGGCCGAAGCCTCTGTTTCATACCACGAAATGTACTCTCGTCACGCGAATGAATTAGTCTTCGATCTCTTGAAGGCCACCGGTGACCTCCAGATACCTATTCAAGCGTTTGTGCCCTTTTCAGTGACACTGTAACCTCCGACCTTACTGACAACCATACAATTGTCACAGATACACCTCATCGCTGATCATGTCTGTGACATATGGACACACCAGTCGCGGAACGCAAGACCCAATCCTTACCCGTACGCAAGAACTTCTGGATATTGCCAAACAACTCCTTTCTCCAGAGAGGGCTGCTATATTCACAGCCTTTCCTTTTCGTGAGTACTTCAATGCTATCGATGATGTCGATTCGAACATTTGGCGTGTCGGTTACAGTTAAAAAGCTGCCAGTTTGGTGCTTTCGTGGAGCTTATGCTCTGATGGGACGCACTAGAGAATTATGTCCACAGCTTTTAAACGAGCCCTTTGATGAGGTGAAGGCACAGATGGTACGTTTGCGCATTGTGGCTGGACGATTTGCATGATCTACTTACCTGTAGGCAAATGGTACTGCTTCGAAATCACTAGTTGCCGACTTCCTCAGTCAAGCTGACGAAGATGCTGACGAAGACACGATGAAAGCCGTTGCATTGATGGGATACATAGGTAATGTTTTTTTTGAAGGCACATGAATCATTATTTGATGCGGATACGGCGTCCCAGGCGGCATAGACACGGTGAGTCATTGGTTTAGGGAATCCTTATCACTTCTTCCCTTACCTTGATGTCCCGCAGTCTACATCCACATTGCACATATTCCTGATGGCTATGGTACTTTATCCCGATGTTCAAGCCAGGATTCGTGCAGAAATAAATCAAGTCGTGACGCATGATAAAATGCCGTCCGTTGATGATAGACCATCGTTACCCTACCTTGATGCCGTTCTCTGTGAGGTTCTAAGATGGTATCCTCCCATACCCCTAGGTCGGTCCATTAATGTGCCTTGGTGTTTATGCAATCGCGTAGCTAACTCCTTGCACAGGAATGGCGCATGCGACAACAAATGATGACATTTATGGCGGGTACTTTATACCCAAAGGTTCGTCCTATGACTCGGGGTTACATCGACTTATCTGCAGTTTAATTAGGCACAGTGGTGATGGTTAATCAATGGTCTGTACGATGCAGCGTATCCAAATGCTTGAGTTGAACATGATTTAGGGCATTGTCTCGGGACGAAGACATATTTCCTGATGCATCGCGCTTCGATCCCACTCGCCATCTCACAGCTGATGGGCAGCTGAAGGATCATTTTGTCAACCATTTTGCCTTTGGTCATGCCAGGTGAATATCTCGCGATCAGTATCACTTTTAATTGTTCACCGACTTGAGCAGGCGCGTTTGTCCCGGTAGGATGACTACTGATTTATCAATGTTAAGGATGTCATACTCATACCGTGGGCAGGTCGTTGGTTTGTACAGAACAGTCTGTGGCATGCAATGGCTGCCATTCTCGCCGTCTTGGGTATCGATCATGCCAGAGACTCGAACGGAAACAAGATTGAGGTAAAGCCGGAATTCACCACCGGCATGGTGATGTAAGTGGCCTCGATGCATGCGCGAGATAACAGCTAAGTATAAGTCGTCCGAAGTCGCCCGCAGCCTTTCCAGTATTCGTTCGAAGTCGTGAATTCAGCGAGAGAAGGGCAGCTTCGCGCAATGATGAATTTGATATAGACGGTTATTTGGGCTACTATGTGAAAGGTGCCGGATTTTGAGCGCTCGGAAGGCTCGGCGTCACACGTCTGGAGCCCGTTTCTTCCTCGCATTTTCATTCTCCATATGACCCGCTTGCTCGTTTTTCAGAATGCTCACTCGCTCACACATTTTTGCCTGATTTGCAATTAGCTCTATATATTTCTTTGTATATACTCAGGGATTTACTTGTAGCGTCCTAATTAGTTGCTGTGGAAGTTCACGAATCACCGAACGAACTGTTACATGAGTGCTACTCACGAAGAAGTTGACCGTCAGATAGTTACTATGTCCATTCAATACTCGCGCTCTTGTGTGGCGCCGAGCAATGGGCTGAACGTTGAACATCGAGGCCTAGGTTCTGTTGTTGAAAATGATAATTATTTTTGTTATCTGCCTGTTATTGTCATATCCCTAATAATTAGCAAAGACCAAAATTGGACTCGACTACGGGAGATCTAGACTATTGTGGTCGCCGCTCAGCTCAGGCTGTTGTCACGTATGTTTTGTGATTTTGTGGGTGACTGAGTAGCTGATCAGCTTCCTTTTTCTGTTTAGAACACCCCGCTGTGATATATGTTGACACAGCACAGTAGGCCATCAGATTGGGCGCATGTTGAAATGGACGGATCAATGAACGTTGAGTCGATGAGTCAAAAGCCGCGCTCAATCAAGAAGTTTTCATGATATATCGTTTGAATGTCAAGGAAACGGGCAAAAGTACGTATGCACTGCGGCGGGTACCTCAGACTGGTGAGATTCAGTACTCATCGCACTCAGCCTGACCAATCCAATCACCATGCATTTTACTAAAAACACTGGCTCTCTGTCCCATGTCTCACTCGTCATACAGGCGCCATCTAATTCATTAATATCTAGCCGCACTTGACTGGTAGGTACACGAGGCACGGCATCAGTGGGCCGAGGCCCTCAGGCCTCAGGGAAGTTGGTCAGGATTTAGTACTCGCGCACACACTGCTCATCGCGCTTAGTGTGGACACATTAGCCGAGGGATGCGGAGATTACACGACTACTTGGCCCGACGATCATGGAAAGTCACAAGTTGTGTCATTCAGGCCTCAGCATCCCGACACGATGACGAAACATCATCGATGCATCGACTGTTTTGCAGAAATGAAGAAGAGGAAAGAGTCTTGATCGCGAGTCACTGCTACTTTCATTGGCAACTGCATCTGGCATTGGTAGACTGGCCCATCCTCGAAAGGCCCATCACAGGCGGCGCCGTCGCGGTCTCACATATTACGCGATTTATATAAACCAACACTTCTGTTCAAAAAAAGCTCGTCGTAAAGCCGATCATGGCCTAGCTTGCGTTTACGTAGAAATTACGTTTAAACAAGCAATCAGATTGATGCGAACGGCATGTCCTTTTTCACTATCCCAAAATGATTACTCAATGCAAATACTGGAACTTTTTTTTTTGTAGTTTTTCCTCGCTTCTTCGATTTACTACTGGCCGCACCCGCATGTAAGTATTACTCGGGACCCTATCCCTGAGAGCAAATCTCGGCTAGCCCTTGTAGTATAAAATGCGAGCGCTCGTACCATCGAAGACCAGCTTGCTATCGTTAGCTTTCTGTGCTTCCTCCGCGTACATCCTCCCTACTTCCTTCAATCGCCCTCCAATCCTACAATGCTCTCCAAATACTTCGCTCTTTTTGCCGCCTTCGCTGCCTTCACCCCTGCATTTGCAGCCCCCGTTCCTGAAACACTAGTCGACGCGGTTGTCGGTAAGTCACGTCCCATGTGTGTGTGTTTCCATCCTCATTGTGTTTATGTTGTAGCTGTTACCAACGATGTCAACAACCTGAACGTCAATGCGCTGACAAAACGCGCTGATGCAGTGAATTCCGGACGTAAGCACGAAACATCATCACGACTTGCCTGCAATGTTGACTAGAATGGCATTTCAGTCTTCGACGAAGTGATCAAAAGGCTCGAATTCACAGAACGAGACAGCGGATGTGGCCTCGCGGATGTAGACGTTAGTGAGTAATTTTTCTCATGAGTCGCTGTGCACAGCCTGACAAGCGTTGAATAGTCGTCAGCAACGTACTTAACAATGTTACAATCAATATCTTGAAGCGTGATGACTGCGATGTTGTCGGAGTTACTGCTGGTAAGGATTTCTTCCTCTGTATGAGCCCAAATGCTGAATGATTTGTCAGCGGCCGTTGATATATTGAACAACCTCAACGTCAATGTTCTCACCAAGCGTGAAGTCACAAGTTCACAGGTCGCGAGCGGTACGCCATTATTGTGCTCATTTTGTATTGCTTTTCTGAGAGTTCGTTATAGCTGTTCAAGCCGCAGCGCAAAACCAGGGTATTACCTTGGCATCGCGCTCTGATCTGGACGACGCAGCGGCTGTAAATGAAATCCTCAGACGGTACGAGGGCATTGCTGCGCGGGCTAAGGGGTCTCCCTATAGTCAAGCCCAAATTGTCGACGGTGTGGCACGTGGTATTTCTGTCACCGCCAGATTCTGACTTCATGTTGTAGCAATTATGCAAGCCATGCAAGCATACGGTGGTTCGAGCTCGCGTCGCCGAGGCACGACTCCTGATGTCCGAGCCGTTACCGAAGATCTTCTTAGTAAAGTCTATGGCACTAAACGCGCCAATGTCATCAGCGGTGAGTAATTTTATGACCGCAGTTTAAACGACTCTGAAATCTAGCTCAGGTCTTTGAGAATGATCCAAATACTGCGAAGGGCAACGTTATCAGCGGACATTGACGTGTTTGCCCGTTAGTATTTCCATGGCTGCAATGTGATCGTCATGAATTAAATTCGGTTCTTGAACAATCTAAACAATACGAAGGTTGTCGTCGCGTAAATAACTGGACGATTTGCAAAGCAGTATCCTCATACCCGATCACGCGCAGCACACATACCCCGTCCACCACCATTCGTTTACCACTGTCACTCGTTAAATCACTTATTACCTAGCCGCGCGTAATGAACTGTTTCCTCTTCCTCAATCCCTATTATAAAGAGCAGATTTGTCCAAGAAACAGTGCCTAGTACTTGTTGATCTTTGCTGTGGAGTTAACAATCAAGCACGTGATCGAAGTCACGAATCGTTTTATCCATCGGAATGAACGTGTCAGCGAGTCACCAATCAACAGTGGAACAATAGATTATAGTTACATCCTAGTTACATGCCGTGATAATATATACATAAGTTTGGAATGGTTGCATATGAACAAGACCATGTGAAGAATACTTGCAGGCAGGCAGACACGTCGAAGCTTGCCCGAGTGAGCCTAAGAGATCCGTCGGTGATCGGTTTAATCCAATGTTGCCGCACGGTCTTAGAACAAGGGGGTGATCGGTATTACCCTCGTACGTGGAGATAATATGGAGCTTCATCGTGGTATGGCGGGCAAATTCATGTCGTGTATGTACCGATTGCGGCACACGTGTGTCGTCGCAGTTGGACGATAAGACTTGCTGTAATGTGATGTCACCATTAATACAAGAAGAAACGACATATCTGCCTTCCATTGAATCGGTCGATTCAGGGGGAAACTAGAAGTTATTGAATATTAGTATATTCCCAGAACGGCGGCTGTTCAGCATCATTACCCAAGGTCGGACAACAATGCGACCCGTATAAACCTTGTGCAAGGTTTTACGTGAGATGTTAGAAGGATCGTGTTCGGGGATGACGGTCTGGGCCATGGCGTGACAATGCCGATGAGTGTCATCCTAGTATGATGAGCAAAGTGCGATGAGTCAGTGTCCTAGTGTACGAACCTATGTATCAATTTGAAACGAATATGCTCCAGTTCGATGATCGATCCCATTATCGTCGGGCTCGAGGAGCGTGGTGAAAGATCATCGCTTACATAAGCTAACTTTTTGCCGTTGAAGCTCGTGTTTGCTCGGAAGCTCTCCATGTCTTCACAACTTCTCGTCCGTCATGCTGTTCGTTCAGCGCGCCAAGCCAGGGCGTATGACCGAGTCAGATCAGATTTCTCTGTAAAATTGCATAGAAATGTGCGCGTGATTTCATCTTCAGTGACGCGCTCGGCGGCGGCTGCACCGAGACTGAAGCCGACACCGACCTCAGCGCCTCCCCCTCCATCTTTCGAGTCTGTGCCACAGCGAGAGCAATCATGGTTGACCACGAAAGTCAAGGCGTCTCCATTCCTTTTCTCAATATTTCTCTCTGCGGCGCGTATTCTTGGCTATGGCTCGCCGCAACAGTTTGCTAATCGGCGCACTCTGCTCTTATACAACACTCTATGTGCTACGCGTGCCGATGAAGCGTCTGCATTTTGGAGAGAAGGTATGCGCAGTGACTCTATGTGACGCTGAATTAATTCCTCAATAAGAATACGCTCTTCCGCCAACTTTCCAATCCTGGTTTGCGATCACAAACCTGCACGTCTGGCTGCTCACTGTCCGACTCCGTGCTCTCCCTGCACCACACGGGATACAGCATGTGCAAGGGCTCATTGACCATTTCTTCCAGGACGTCGAGGAACGCTTGCGCGCTGTCCTTCAACCGGGCGTCCTACCTCCTCGTTCGTCATCGCCAAAGCTATTAGGCACTACCGAGGATGGTTCACACTATCCACACAGCTCTTTTTACACCACGCCCGCCGCCCTCGCGCCGAAAAGCACCTTTCTTTCGGATAAAGCCTACCAAGAGGCCGTAAAACTTCAGAAACGCTCTCGTGCACCAGAAAAATTGATCACCAGGCAGATGAAAATTCTAAAAGAGCAATGGGCCGGGATGGGAATGAGTTTGGACCTTGGCCTCGTAAGGGGCGATGCCGAGATGGCTGCGGCAGTCTGGAGAAATTTGTTAGGTGCACGGGGTGCAAGTGGGATTGCGTTGGACCACGAGGCCAACGGCAACAGTTATCGGAGAGCGGTTAACCTAGTTGGTGGACTTGTCGAAGATGTGAGAAAGGTGGACGTAGATACAGAAGAGTTCAAGGACGATAACAGCGGTGTGCATGACTTTGCTCCTTCGGAAAATGACCGGTATGTGTATTATTTTTCTTTTGTCACTCACTCGGTGCGCATGCGACAATGTTGTCTCCAGTGCAGTACCCACCCGTGGCACTTGCGCTAAGGCATCCCTCATCTGGATGTTCATATTATTTCTTGCTAATTCTCACTTACCCCAGATATATCGGTTATCCAGAGCTTATGGTCACACTTGTCTCCTACATCCGCCGTGAGATTATGAGACTGGAGCGTCTCGACGACAGTACCATCATGGGACCACGGCGTGTCGGGCGAGAGGGTGAAGGTGTCCAGAACTTGAGATGGGGAGAAATGGAAAACGCTATACGGAGGTAAGTCGGCAGTTGGACCGTTCCTAGATGACGAACTAAAATGTACGTTTGTCTCCCAGATAGTAAGCCAGACAGCCTGAAGGTTATCCGCGGCTGCGGTATTCGGAGAAGTATATTATAATGCATATTTCAATACTTTGTGGTTGGATGATAATTTTTTTTGCTTCGATCCGAAATCTTAGCTCCCATCTTTTGCCGTCGAGGCTGTGAAATGAGATTGGTGTGTTAGGTCAGTCCGTTGGTTCATGTTCTGGTTCGTGAGTTGTTCGGCACCGAGTTACAGGACATTTGCTTCCACCTCATAGCATGACCTTGCGACAATTGTTCCTTCCAATGAGTTCTGATGGGGCTACCAATGCCTCAGTGCTGCCGAAAAACTTATACCGTTTGACGCAGCGAATTGCTTGGAAGCGAAGCCCAAGCGTATAGTGCATATACGTATGAGTGCTATATGACAACGGTTCCGAACTTCCTGAGTTTGTTCGGTCCAGTGTCAGAAGCTACATGGTTTTTAGCGTATAAGTAGTCTACCCCATCTCACTTTTACAGGATCTGGTATGCTCCTTGTTTCACGTATTCATGAAGGTTGACGGCGGTCCCCAGTCTAGTACTGAAAGTCACAACACCCACCCAAGGTGTGTTAGTACATGCTGAAGCCTGTAACTGATTCGCTTATTATTTCGTGCGCAGGTGTTCTATATCGACAGGATTCGATGCGGCACCAGTACATAGTCAACGACTGGTCCCACGTCACATTACTTCCACACGACCCAACGAGCCTTGCGGGCCTGCGAGTCGGTTAAATCGAAATGCGCACGGTGGAACTTGGAAGCCTCGACCTGGAGCCTATGAGTCTACGGCATACCCTGCGCATGGGAGTCGGAGATAGATAGATATTAGGTAGAGGCTAGACTGGCCGCGATCAGCGACATGATCAAATGTCTAACCGGCTTCCATCAAACTCTTTCGGGACGAGCCTTGCATCTTTTTTTATCCATGTCCGGTGTGTGGCATGTGCGTAACGCAATCATTTACTGATGGCGGTCGGCTCTAGCTGATATGCCGGCATCTCGAAGGTAAGTTTTTTCTAGCGATCAATGAGCGACACATTGAAATTTGTTTCAGATCAATGGAAAAGATACTTTTCCATCTTCCCCGGCCTCAATTCACAGCTGATGGCCTGCTTCGAATTCGTACGGCGTGACGTCGCATATCATGTCTAACTTTATCTACCTATGCAGAGGCCAGGCCAGATCAGGGAAACGTAATTCATCGCAGAGTGGTACAATCCAACCCGCTGATGCCATTCGGTGCTGGCGCCTAGGTCTTTGTTTACTACCTTGCGGCGTTCTGGTCTCGGATGTAGTGCGGTAGATCCGTCATCCTGCAGGGCCATGACTTGTCATGCCGTATGATGTCCCATCGTTCCGCGATTCATGATCAACGATTTCCGGCGCATAATTCCCTGTTCCAACTTGTGCTCCTCGCGGCCCGCTCGAAAATCATTCTCACACCGTACGGGACTGCTCGCATCATTCAATCCAAAAAATTACGATCTGGTAATAAAGGGACGATGATGACACAAAGGGTCACCAGTACAGCTATTGGCTTGAAGCCAAAGACCCGACCCGAGTAGGCGGCAGGCCTAACACTATGTGGCGGTGAGGCCGAGCATGGACGCTCGACTGTTGCACAACTGTAAGCTCGAGTTTCGGCAGTTCGGCTTGAAATATGATTGCAAACCACACATGCGCCGCCTTATGTCACTGGGGCGGCGTTATCGTGCCGAGCGGAAGTTACACTTCCGTGCACGTAATCTGTACAAACTCGGTAATGTCGGCGGATGGCCCACGGTCCGTTCGATGCTGATGCGCATTTCTGACACAGGGGTAGATGATCCACAGCGTGAACAGACTGTGGCATCAGTCGAAACGACTGTACTAGAAACAAATCGTTCTCTCCATCATTTTCACGGTCCCAAACTGCAAATCCTGGTTGCCATGTTGAGTCAGTATGACATTTTGTTCACATCGCAGAAAATAATCTCGGTATTGGGTATAAAAAACAATCGCCTTCCTCTCTAGTTGTTCCATCGTTCTTTACCTTCTTCAACCGCCTCCAGCTGCTTACCTTCCTCTCGTTAACAATTCACAATGCAGCTCACTCTTCTCGCATCCCTCGCTGTCCTTTGCAGCTCTGCTTTCGCTGTCCCTGTTGACAGTCGCTCTCCTGAATTGGTTGATGTCTTGGCCTGTGCGTCCCAGAACTTGTTGTAAGAATACAAACTGACATGCGCAGATGTGGAGGATGTTGCGAACTATGACACTGTGAACGTCCTCACCAAGCGTACCTTGGTTGATGCCTTTGCATGTGTGTGCCCAACCTCATCATAAGCGTACTAACTGACTCTGCGTAGACGTAGAGGATGTCGCGAACTACGACACTGTGAACGTCCTCACCCGCCAGGCGTCCATAGCCGACGTATTTGCTGGTATGGCACTGACTGCAACTTATAGTTGGCCGCTGACAGTTTTCCAGACGTGGAGGATGTCGCGAACTACGACACTGTGAACGTCCTCACCAAGCGTCAGGCCTTGGTTGATGCCTTTGCATGTGCGTGCCCAACCTCACCATAAGCATACTAACTGACTCTGCGTAGATGTGGAGGATGTCGCGAACTACGACACTGTGAACGTCCTCACCCGCCAGGCATCCATAGCCGACGTATTTGCTGGTATGGCACTGACTGCAACTTATAGTTGGCCGCTGACAGTTTTCCAGACGTGGAGGATGTCGCGAACTACGACACTGTGAACGTCCTCACCAAGCGTACCTTGGTTGATGCCTTTGCATGTGCGTACCCAGCCTCACCATAAGCATACTAACTGACTCTGCGTAGATGTGGAGGATGTCGCGAACTACGACACTGTGAACGTCCTCACTTAAGTCGGTTTGCATCCCCTTACTACGTCGAACTCTCGCCAACCTTTGCATCATCAATTTGGCAGATATACCCATTACGGAGCGCACTTCCACGTTTTCCTTAGTCAACCATGCGGGCTGTTCGTTGCTACTTATAATGCAGTGTTCGCATGTCCCGTATTAATTAGCGTGCGTTTGAATCGCTAGAATCTCGTTCTCAATCATTCGCGGTGCATTCAGCTACACTACCAGTGTTGTATCCGCCCAGTGTGAGCGTGAAATTCACTATAAGATGACAACGTTGTTGAGATGCTGTTTTGTCGATCTTCAAAGGCATCGAGGATTGTGACACTCCATGCACGTGTTGTCTAAGTTCAAAGGCTATTGTGCACGGAGCGCGGGATTTGATTATGTAATGTTCTATTTATGTAAAAGTGCATCATGGTCTCTGAAATTTGAGTTGTTTTCACAATGCGGCGTTATGGAAAAATGCTGGAGCATACATACGGTAATAAAGGGACGATGATGCACACAAAGGGTCACCAGTGCAGCTATTAGCTTGAAGCCAAAGGCCGGACTCGAGTGGGTGGCAGGCTTAACACTATATGGCGGTGAGGCTGAGCATGGACGCTCGACTGTTTGCACGACTGTACAGCTTGGAATATTATTGCAGACCACACATGCGCCGCCTTATTATGTCATTGGGGCGGCGTGATATATTGTACCGAGCCGAAATTATACTTCCATGCAATCTGTACAAAATCAGTAATGGCACTTTACGAATGCCTCGGGCAGACCGTCCGAAGCTGATGCGGCGCATTTAGAACATTTCAATTTCAGGGTGGATGATCCACCGCGTGAACGAACTGTGGCCCAATCGAAACGACTGTAGAAACAAATCATAGGATGCATTCAGTCTCGAACAAATATCCATCGCGCATGTAAGTACAACTTGGGTCTAGAACGCTTCAACACAGTGAACAATCGCGATCATGGGCGAAATTGCGCCGATGGGTACCTGCGTATAACGTACTTCCGGGTCTTCTACTTCGAAGAGAAATCTTCTTTCCATCATTTTCACGTCACAAAAGGTCCCAAACTGCAAACCCTGGTCGCCATGTTGAGTCAATATGACGTTCTGTTCGCATCGCAGAAAATAATCTCGGTATTAGGTATAAAAACAGTCGCCTTCCTCTCCACTTGTTTCATCATTCCTTTCCCTCTTCCACCGCTTTCAACTGCTTACCCTTCCTCTCGTTAACAATCCAACAATGCAGCTCACTCTTCTCGCATCCCTCGCTATCCTTTGCTCCTCTGCTTTCGCTGCCCCTGTTCAAAGCCGGGATGGATCATTGGTTGATGTCATCGCCTGTGCGTCCCCAAACTCTTTGTAAGAATACCAACTGATATTTACGCAGATGTGGAGAACGTCTTGAACGACGCCAATGTCAACGTCCTTACAAAGCGGGACGCTTCAGATGTTGATGTCATTGCCTGTGCGTGCCCAAACTCGTTTGAAGCATACGAACTGACAATGGGTAGATGTGGAGAATGTCGGCAACAACCTCAATGCCAACGTCCTCACCCGGGATGTCCCTTTGATCGACGTCGTTGCTGGTATGTCACTTACTGCAACTCGCAGTTCGCCGCTGAAAGTTTTCTAGCTGTCACCAATGATTTGAACGACCTCACGGTCAACGTCCTCACCAAGCGTACAACCTTGGCTGATGTTATCGTTGGTAAGGCACTTATCTCAACTCACAGTTCGGTACTGAAGCTTTCTCAGACGTCCAGGACGATTTGGATAATCTTAATGTGAACGTCCTCACCAAGCGTGAAGACTTGGCCGATGTCATCGTTGGTATGACACTTACCTCAACTCACAGTTCGCTACTGAAGCTTTCTCAGACGTCCAGGACGATTTGAATAATCTTAATGTGAACGTCCTCACCAAACGGGATGCCGGCCTGGTAGATGTCATTGCATGCGAGTACCATTTACATGATTTCTTCAGAATACTTCTAACCCCATCCCTCAGATGTTGAGAACGTTCTCAACGATGCTAATGTCAACGTGCTCACACGATGAGCTAATTTGTGTGCCCTTATTGCTTTCAACTCTGGCCAACCATTGCATCATCAATTTGGTAGATATACCCATTACGGAGCACACGTCCACGTCTCTCATAGTACACCTTGCGGGCTGTTCGACGCCAATGTCGTAGTATTCATATGTCACGTATTAATTAGCGTGCAATTGAATAATTAGAACCTTGACATTCTAGATCATTCGCGGTCGATTCTACTACGCTATCCGCGTTGCATCAGACAGTAACGACAGTACTTGATGTTTCCGAAATTCCATTGAATCAAGAGAGGTAACCCAGGCAAATATGCCAGAGTGCCACCACCGCAGTGGCCGCACCCGTGATCAGACTTATCTTTGCCATACGGTTGGCTGCAATTGCCACGCAGTCAAAAAATAAATCGAAAATACAACAGATCCCTACCTTTGAGGCCATGAAATACCGTTTCAGAGCAAGAGTCTGGTGAATGGTAATGATATTAGCGAAACAATTGGTACGACATCATTACCGAACGCAGAACTGGAATAATCACCGAAGTAAAAATTCGTCAACGCAACAACACACAAGAAATCCCCTGCTTACCTTCTAAGGGAGCTGCCAGGGTGGGTGCGAGCCCACCAAACGGCATCAAAAAGACGGCATGCCCAGGGGGAATACTGCAAGTTAAGCAATGGAATTTCAAAGGCGCCCGAGCGACTTTGATACCGGTGATGGTAAAACTGGAGGGAGGCTGAAAGGAGGAACTAGGAAACACTAATAACGAGATTTTAGCATGATCTGTGTGCTTGGCTGGATTAGAAAGTACAATATTGACGTTAACAAGAGACTGTAGAACGTTGTTCCAGGTCGTTCTGTATTCTAATGGCCAAATTCCGACCCTAATTAATTATCTTCAGCTGAGTTCAAGTCGGCAGAAAAACACTTACTACTAGTAGACAACTTGGTGGATCCCAGTCTGTGTCGTACCGACCGCCAATTCAGAGGTACGATACATCAGACTCACAGTTGAACATTACTCCGACTCCCACACAATGTGGAGGCCTAGCGCTAAGGGTTCTGTCGCACCTTGAATGGCTATTTCTCTGCAAACGCTTATGTTCTCACGGTTCGGTCTTGATTTGACTTCCACCGTTATTCGACATTTCTGCGTTCTCGCCCCCTAGACCTGCAATGTAAGATTCGCTTTTTCCTCCCTTTCTTGGCACTCTGAAAGTTTTTGCAGGATGTTCATTTCATTGTGAAGGCTCCGTGCTGTGCCGCTCGAGTGATCAACTGCCTGCCTGGCCCTGCCACTCTTAATCATACATGACATAAATGGTTAATCTCACCTCTCGGCGTGAGTTTCAGGCGTTCGTAGTATATCGCCACTCTGTGCTTCCGCTCCAGTTGCCAGCACTTCTCGAACTCACAACAAGGCGATCTCCTACCTTGTATCGAAGTTTGATGGTTTTCTGGCTTGGTTCAGTCACATTGAACAGACTATTGCAAATCATCTGCCGTGTCTCCTCGAGATACCTGTGCTTGCTAAAACCGCCCGGTCGCTTCCACGTAGAAAGGGTTGGAAGAATGTAGATCACGTGAACGTCATTTTAGGTGTTAACTGCCTTGCCCCGTTTGGCTGTCAACGAAATCTTTTCGAATGTTGTCCAAGTTATGAATGCTGTTCGGTGCTGTCTGCCCACTTTCTCTCTGAGTGTGTAGATGAGGGTCCTTCGCCGCCTCCCTCCGGGCTATCATGTGACTCGCTCGATTGTTCTCGTGTTCCATGGTCTGCCCTTTCGATTGAGTTCTCTTATCCGTCACCTGCGCACTGCCACATCTGTTGACGTGCTATCGCAGTGCATCCGTCGTCTACTTTCAATGGCTGCCCCGTCTTAAATGTTTGGTCTCGTACTAACACAGGTAACGGTCCGACCTGCCACATCCATGAATGTGCTATGTATTTGCAGGCCGTGGACTCTAGTGTCTCAAGCAATATATGACTTGCGTACTTTCCTTTCACGACTCCTTGGGGTTTGCGGGACACTCATCACATTCCAGCCATTCTTGAATGTAAGTATCACATCCTTTATCGTTTGTCCCGCGAACTTTTGTCATGCCGCACAGTTTCGGGGACCGTCGAGGGCGTGTGGGTCTGTTTCAGCTGTCTTATAAGCTACAGCCTGTGAAGATACAGGCGTAACCCAGGCCGGTATTTAGCAGCCTGAGATAAGCTCAAATTCTAGATTTGGATGAATACTGAGAAAGTTAGATAGAAAACTCCTGTCGGTCAGCATACAAGCGCTGAAGGTAGCCAGAGATAGTGCTCAATGATGCGATCATTTATATCTGCTTAGTGTGACTGCCATACTCAGTCAGAAAGCATTAGGCAAGTATGGTTGCCTGGGGCCAGCGGAGAGGAAGGACAGTAATTACCAGCAGAGCGAGCCGCATACGCATGGGTTGCCATGTAGGTAGCCAGGTGTGATATTTGATTATTTCAATAAAAGCGACACAAAAACACAAACAGCGGCAGTGGATGAGAATTGGGAGCACGCCCAATAGAGAAATGTTCGCCAGAACAATGAATGTGAATAAAGATAAGGCGACTCTCAAAGATCACGACAGGTGACTGACCAGTACGATGCGCGAAGAGAGCCCATGGGAAGGCCACGATTAATCTGCTGACAACGACAGTGCTGTATGTGACAGTCGCTGGGACCACGGTTGAGAAGGACTGCCCACAATGCATGAAAGATGACGCAAACATGCGCGATGGAGAATATGAGTACGATTTTCAATGACCCACGACACTTAATGAGCGAGAATCCCGACTGAAGTCACGAAACGGGCTGAAGAGACAAGCACCAACTTGGATGAGAAAATAAGCATACAAATTATGGCTGTGAAAAATGAGCATACAGTCTGTGATGCGGTGCCGTGAGTGCAGCTCACGATGGTGAAGGATAAGCATGCAGTTCGAAGTGGTGATAACGGACAGACAGCCCATCGTCGACAAGTGACAATCGTCGCAAAGTTCGGGGCCATGACGATAAATGCATAGCTTATGACAGCAATAGATGCGGACACGGTCTGTGATAACAATAACAAGCGAGACAACTCACGATGGTAGGAACAAAATGATAAGCACGTGTAAAAGGGGATATGTCACAAGGGGTGTGACCCAATAAAAAGCGAACTCGAGTTGCGGCATGCGGGCTGAGACGAAATGAAGTGTGCTGGAGATCGGAGCACTGGTAAACTGAACTAAAGAAAGTCAAGGAGAAGACTTATGGCGGCAAGAACAGGAATAGGGAAGCAGAAAGGTCAGAGGTTGAGCGTAGCACAATGTCCCATACGTAGTAGCAGAGGAGTGTGTAGATATGCGGCAAGGGCTGAAAAGGAATAGACCGGGAGAAACACGCACTGGTCCCTAACTCCAAGGCACCGAGCTTCGAATCACGTAAGGAGCTGATAAACGATGGTCCAGGCCAGGAAGCGAGGTAGGATGACCGAAGGAAACTCACCCATGACCGTTATCATACCAAGAGTTTAACCGTACGCGTCAAGCCGGTTCTCGCGCAAGCTTGAACCATTGTATAGCATGCCGCAACAAGGGCAAGACTCATGCGGAGCTAGTAAGATACTTAGTGTAGATAGTGTCCAGCACAGGGCTTCGCCCCAACCAACGGGCAACTTGAATCAAGGATTAAAAAAAAGCGGCATGGTACTAGTAATTGTGGATGGATTCTTTACTGTGTCATTGAGCGTGCCTTGAGCGGTGCAGATTAGTATCGGGACTGAAAGACAGTTCGAAAGGACATAGAGAGAAATGAGTAAAGCGAGAAATGGATATGGTTTCAAGTGAATATGAACTAGGATATGAACTAGCATGAGCGAGCAGGTTGAATGTTGTGGAAACGAGCGAGTGGACCCTTGCACGTTGTGGAGCTGGGTGATGCGCATACTACGTCGGCGAATACCTCGGGGAGACCGTTTCGAAGCTGATGAGTGTGATTAATATGGACGTGACGTTTGGATTTCAGGGTCCGGAATGATCTACGATGTGAACAAGTAGTATCAGCAGCAATTGAGACGAGTCCAGAAGTAAATCGTTGGATCCATTCAGTCTCTCTATGGCGCATGTAATTAGTACAAGGTCTAGAACGATGCGATAGAGTGAACAATGGCAAGTTATAGGCGAAATTAGGCCAATCGTACAGCTTTTTCGTACATACATATAACGTACCTTCGAGGCTTCTAGTTCGGATCTTTAGGTCCCAAACTATAAACCGTGGTCGCCATGCTGAGTTATTCGGATCGCAGTTAATAATTAGGTATAAAATCAATCACCTTGGTCTCTGTTTTTCAGATCGTTCTTTGTCCTCGATTCCAACCGTTTAGCTTCTCCCTATCCACAGTTCACGATGCAGCTCACTCTTCTCGCATCCCTTGCTGTCCTTTGTACCTCTGCTTTCGCTGCTCCTGCTGAGCGCCGCGATGACTTGGTTGATGTCATTGCCTGTGCGTGCCCAAACTCGCTCTAAGCATACGAACTGACGATGTGTAGATGTGGAGAACGTCTTGAACGATGCAGATATCACCGTCGCCAAGCGGGATGATTCATTGGTTGATGTCATCGCCTGTGCGTGCCCAAACTTGTTCTAAGCATACGAACTAACAATGGGTAGACGTCGAAAACGTCTTGAACGATGCAACTGTCACCGTCGCCAAGCGTGAAGATCTGGCTGACGTCATCGTTGGTATGACACTTTCCGCAACTCACAGTTCGCTGCTGAAGGTTTTCTAGCCGTCACCAATGATTTAAATAATCTTGATGTGAACGTTCTTACCAAGCGTGAAGACTTGGCTGACGTCGTCGTTGGTATGGTACTTCCTGCAACTCACAGTTCACCGCTGAATGTGTTCTAGCTGTCACCAATGATTTGAATAACCTTGATGTAAACGTTCTCACCAAGCGGGAGACTTTGGCTGAAGTCATCGTCGGTATGGCGTTTCCTGAAGTTCACAGTTTGCCGCTGAAGGTTTTCCAGACGTCCAGGATGATTTGGATAATCTTGATGTAAACGTTCTCACCAAGCGGGAGACTTTGGCTGAAGTCATCGTCGGTATGGCATTTCCTGAAGTTCACAGTTTGCCGCTAAAGGTTTTTCAGATGTCCAAGATGATTTGGATAATCTCGATGTGAACGTTCTTACCAAACGAGACGATGCTTTGATCGGCGTCGACGTCAGTAAGTACTATTCACGTGATTTTGTTTGTCTTTCTTTAAAGCAAACCCACAGTTGTCGACGATGTTCTCAACGATGCCGATATCAACATCCTTTAGTCGGTTGATGTGGGATCTCTGGTCATGGCTCTGCGTCTGCTTCATCACATTTGTAAGTATACCCACTATGACGTACACTTATTCTAGGCTTCGGCGATTGTTTGGCAGGATTTACACATTACGTATTCATACAAATTTCAATCGTCATTAAGGTCGTTCTCATACGCGCTATTGGACTATACGACCTGTATCCGGCAGGCGCGTGTATAATAAAATTTGCTTCTTAAGATGGCAAAGTCCAAATGACACAGCGAGTTCGAAATATGTGAATCCCATACCATAATGGTTCCTTGTGTATCCTTTGTGCACGATATGATGCTATGATTACGTACGGATATGTGCCCCATGCTTGAATTCGACGTATAAAATTAGGGTTTTTTAATGTAGCATTGCAATGGAAGAACGCTAGAGCGCTCATGAGTTACTAATTTTTCTAAAAGGCTTTACCAGGGCGCCATGGTGGGAGGGGAGAAGAACAGGGATATCATAAAAAGCCCACATGGATGAGCGAGGCTTCTCCCGACGAGATCGACTTAGCCATCGAAGCTCAACTTCATGGAGGTTAACGGCAGGAAGTCCTCGGTGGATGGCCGAGGGGTGGCATGCCCCACCTTTCTCCTCTAGGTCACGAATCACCGTTGTCGACCTTTGTACTAGTAGGACGGGCAACAGTCGCCGTGCAGTCAAAAAGAATACAGCATGCCCTATTTCTGAGTCATGAGCTATTGTTTCAGAGCAAGAGTTTCGTGAGTAGGTCGTAATATTAGCCAAACAATTGATACGACATCATTACCGATGATGGCCGCTATTTGCTCATTCGAAGCAGAAATTCGTCAACTATAATAACACGTTGACCGAGAACTGCTTACTTGCTAATGGAGCTGCCAGGATGGGTGCGAACTCACCAAACGCCACCAAAAAGACGGTAAGCGGAATATTGCATGCTAAGGAGTAGAATTTCAAAAGGAGCAACGTGATAATAAAACTGGAGGGATGAAGAACTAGGAAGAACGCAGAAAGCGTTATTCGGCTCTTCGGTCTGACGAGATTTCAGCATGGTGCCTGGCTAGATTAAAATCTGAACGTTCTATGGAACAAAACCCGAGACTCTGGATTCTGGAACGTTGTTCCAGGTCGTTTCGTATATCCTATAAATTTCTAACGGCCAAATCTCGACCCTAGTTATTTCAGCTAAGTTCAAGTTGGCAAAAAATACGTACTTCCAAATATGTCATGCTGAGCGCCAATTCAAAGGTAGGATAGCTTAGACTCACGGTTGAACATTAGAATTAGAATATTAGACAACATTTACTTCGAGCAGTTCATTCAAGTTGTAACAGACCGCGGAGCCAAATGCCGCAGTCTATCACATATGTCAGCGACTCGGCATGTCACATAATTATAGACAAACTACTTACTGAAATTTGGTCTACCTAGAACCTATGCATAGAAGCCCATTGACAGGCATGCCGAGCACTGACTAGTGACTGATGAGGTGCATGAGATCCTCGAATCGAAGGTTACTGCGCGCAGATGACCAGCGTCCGTATGTGAAGGACTGGGTACGTCACCACTCCCAATATTCCCGTCGACTGCATCATGTAATGTGCGCTAGACACCACTCTTCTCGAAAGCTCCACAGGCCATTAAGATACTCCTGTCGGCGCTCTCGTAACTCTCACCAGCGTTCTGATAGTCTAGTGGCTATAGAGATGAATGATTCCAGATCTACGAGACTGAGTATGCCACCATCGACGAACCTTTAACATCAAACAGCGAGGAGCTCATAGAGAATGGAGACACGGCCTCTGACCCCTCAATCAGATGCGCAGAGGTTGACATCCCTCGTAAAGCTGAAGATGGTAACAGATGAGCTTCTTCAAGATTGTCTGTCATCCTACTCGGAGAGCAGTCACGGTGGACATGATCAATCATCCCCGACAAGCCCCAGAGACAGTACAAACCCGTCGATGCACCCATCCGACCTCACACATATCGACTCAATACTCACCCAAGGCGAGGCTCTTGAAGTAAAAGCCATGGCACGTTTGCGAAAACGCCCGACGTTGAGGTCGAAGATGGAAAAAGAGCACTTTCAATTTGCGTCGGAAGATGGCGGAGAAAGGGTCGGGATGTTCAGGGTTGAGACCCACCAACATTCTGACTGTAAACACATGCCAGGGCGGATGTGATGAGAAAATGCCGGACAATGTACTTGCGCCTAATTAAACCATATCTGCTGTAAACACAAAAATCAGAGAAGGGTCTAAACGTCGAGAGGTCGTATTTAGCCCAAAAGACGTGCTCGTGTTCAAACACGAATCAAACCTGACAGGACTGGTGAATAACCACCTTGGTCCGACCTGGCACATCAAAGAGCTATTAGCCTTCATTTGAACTCACCCACACATTTTTGAAACAGTCCAGCATGTATGCTAACCAACCATACTCCGTTTCCTGCCTCTCAGTCGCACTAACCAAAGAGTGAGCACACAGATCTGGTCATGCATTAAGCTCAGCTTACCATCATCTAATCTCTTTTTAATTGGCAGCCAATGTTTGCGCATGCGCTTCTCATACGCGCTCAACACACCCGCAAACAGTGGCTCCGAGTCAGGATGAGTCGAGGCAAAGGCGCGTTCCAGGACATAAAGGTCCACAGCCTTATCCTCTACGAGAGTAGAATGATAGGCGAGTCCAAAATCTATAAGAACCTGAAAATGACATCAAAAAGACGGCCATATCTTCTAGTCCTGTCATGTACCAAATCACTTGTTTGTTTCCTCAACATCATGTTCGAGGTCGTCAGGTCACCATGGATTATATCGGCCAGGTGCATCTTTGCAATCTCAACACCGATCATATCCATCAGGGCATCTACGGAACTTGAGTATAATCTAATCAGTATACGAACAGTCCTACCTCGAGAAACTCCATAATCAGCGATTGGGTCTGCAGTGCCATTTTCATGGATTTCATCCATCTCATCCGCCTCTTCAAGCTCGCTGATGTCCTCGAGTTCAGCTCCACCGGGTAAAAGTTGACGCACGCTCTTGCCATCTATCCACTCGATACCCAGTACACCTTCGTTCACATCCACCATCCTGATTCCGGGTACAGTGACACCGGATCTGCCGAGGTCCCAGGTCAGCTCATCTCCACAGGACAGCAAAAATTGGACATACCGCATACATCTCATCAACGCGCGGGCTTCACCGGCTATGCGTTGCCGGGTGAGTGATGCATCAAGCGACGGGTGGCGGTAGTGCTTGTGGAACCGGTACTTCAAGAGAACCGGCTCCAGCGCCTCAAGAACTGCACCGTGATCAGTGACAAGGCCCGATGTCGAGACTTGACGCAAATATGCTTTATAGACTTTCTGCGTGGAGCAGGTGATCGGGGGTTCGAGTGAGCATGGGGCGAAGCAGAAATTAGTTAGAAGAGGGACTTGCAGCTTCAGCGCCCTGTGAAATGAGGTCTGCAGACTGTAGCAGTTGCTGCGTCGGTGGTTTGGAAGATGATGAAGAAAGCATGATTAACGTTTGACTCTCAGAGATAAGATTCGACCCAATACCAACACAATCTGGCAATTCCCGATTGCTTCCGAGTCTCCAAGGCTACGTTTATGACATTTATTCTGTTCTTCAGCCAGCAACGAGCATATGAGCAGTCTGAAGAACTTGACGCCGCGGAATGCTTAGCGCTGAACGCTGAGGTCATGGCCTGGGAATGCTGGGACAATGGACTGCAAAAATCCACATTGCTCTTGTCACCACATGCTCCAAGCCCTAAACTTCGTGAGCAGTGATGCCGCGGCTGCGACGCCACGCCACCCAATAATTTCATCGTGAGTTAAGTAGCACAAGACTGTTCATTGGCAATACCAGGATCAGAAATGATAATCTTTGGGCATTGTATAGGTTCGGTGGCCCTAACAACTGCGTTGTAGAGCTCTTGCGGCGAGCAACTGTACCAGCTCCACACTGTGGTTGACACGTTGACAAGTCAGCTGATGACGGAACTTGATCTCGCTTCGTCAATTGATCAGTAGTTGGAACTAATACGTCAGGGATTCGGTCGGGCCTAATCATCCTCCGACTCCCAATTTCAGTCGCTCTGAGCCCTGGTTCCGCAAACAGTTTAACCTGTTATGGTGCAGGGTGGCCCCAGAACGTGAGTCTTGTCTAGTTTTATATATATATAGATATCGGAGGATGACAATCACCGTCCTCTCATTTGATGGCGAGCGCCCCTAAATCAGTAATACACGATGCTGTCGTCACTTGCAACTCGATAACGACGACTACGCACCGAATTCTGAGATCTCAGAGGTTGCGCACTCGAGACCGTCATTTGCGTTGACATCGTTAGCACGACAACCACCATATGTTCCACAGTCTAACCTGCCGCAGGAAAACTCGTGCACACCTTTCAATTTTAACACACCATTCCCAGAAGCCACATTTGAATAAGTGAGCTATTTACGCTGTCCGCACAAGCTGCTGCTAACGCCAGCAACGTCACTAACAGGTGTGCTGACTTGCCAGCACAGACTCGTTAGATAAACCTTTCTTGGATACATCAAGGCTTGCTAATATCTTCGGTCGATTTTCCTGGCCGTCTGTTAATTCCCGGGTCTTCGGTATATATAGTAGGCCCCTTCTCTCGCATCAAAAACATGTTTATCATACATACGTTTGCTCAGCCTAATTCATATCCAGCCCTGCGTGATATTCTTGGCTGACTGATCCCTCAGCCCAAAGTCACCCCCGTGAAAATTATATTGTGAAATTTGGATTGCAATATATTGGATTCAACTATGCAACCGTTTCATCCATTTGTCCAATATCCATTTCACCGACAGCCCGAAGAAACAACGGCATCCCGATACATGGTTTCAATGCTTCACCCGGTTGAACTACTTAGGCAGCCTGTTACTTTCCGTTTAGCGGACGAACAGCCAAAAATAGGTTCTTGAAGAGCGCAATGTCAGAACGCTTGGCCACCTTCTCGAATTTTGATCCCTGTGGTCGGGGACAACCAACGGAGGAACTCGTACGACTGTACGAAACCTGGGCAAAGGGGGATATCGGTGATTTTCATCCAATCCTTGATGACGCTCTAATCATAATTTTCTCCAAGGAATCATTGTCACTGGTAACATACAAATAAAAAAAGATCATCTCGAAGCTACAGGTAGTCATAATTTTCTGCGAAAATAATTGCAAGGTTGATGTCCGTGTAGGGAATACTATCATCGACAGAGACCTCCCCTCGGTTTATCTCCAGGAGTGGACTGGAGGTGGCGCGAGCCGCCAAGTCACAAGGGAGCTTGGTCATCGGACAACTTAGCCATCCAGGGCGTCAGGTTTCCATCAACATACAGCCATATCCAGAGGCACCATCTGACGTCGAGCAACCCTCGACTGGAGGTGTTCTCTTCGGGCAACCTACGCCTCTAACAAAAGATGGCATCAAGGACATTGTAAATCGCTTTGCATATGCAGCCTTCGTCCTGCACAGGGCTGGGTTTGATGGCGTCCAGGTAATGTTATTTCACTAACATATGGCCGGCATATTGGTTAACCAGACTCAGCTCCACGTCGCTCACGGTTACCTTCTGTCACAATTTTTAACCAAGACGACGAATATGCGAACTGATGAATATGGTGGATCGCTCGTAAATAGAGCTCAGATTATTCTCGAGATAATCGCCGCAATCAGACAAGCGGTCCAGAGCCCATCTTTCATCATCTCGGTCAAGCTCAACGCACAGGATTCAGCCCCTCAGGGCTTCTGTATCGAGGAATCGATCATGGTTGCCAAACTGCTCGAAATTGCAGGAGTGGACTTCATTGAACTCAGTGGGGGAGTGTACGAACAAAATATCCGCAGCTCTCGGGACAAGGTAACATTTTACGCTTGATGATCAATCTAAAGTTAATGCCGAGCAATTATAAGCCGTATACTGTTGAAACCCGAGAAGGGTATTTCGTCGAATATGCAGAGATTCTCCAATCCCATCTAAATCTATCAAAAGTAGTCGTCACGGGTGGATTCCAGACATTGCAGGGCATGTCCGATGCTGTCTTGCGAGGGGCCGCGGACAGTGAGTGTCCTTTTGCCGGTTGTATATTTACTCAGCAGTTGGTGCGATGCAGTTATAGGATTAGCGAGACCATTAACCGCAGAACCACTTTTGGTCAGAGACATCCTACGAGGGGAGAAGAACAAAGCCAAGGGAGACAAATTTCCTGAAAGCCCGATGCTGCGGGTGCGCATGGTCTTCATTCACGTCAATACACGGCCTTGATATCTAATCACACAGTTCGTAGCATCTGCGGCGCAGATTGCTGAGATTGGAAATGGTCAAGATATCACTGACTTTGACAATGCATTCCACGTTGCTAGATTCATCGCCAAAATGCAGAAGGAAATTCCTGCTGCCATATCGGAAGCACTTTTCTCGTGACCAACTCGTGACTGTCATGAACTTCGGTCTCGGGTTGATACCGCCTCAGTTACCAATTGTTTCATTACTTAACTTCTGATCTAAAAGCGCCAGTTGAAATAACTGAATACGTAGTCGCTCTGCTGTTGTACACATTGGTTTTGTCCGTATTTCTTGATCTAGTGTTGTGCAGAACATAACGCCATCATGCTGAAGTTGACGCTCTTGCTTTCCTTGATATAATGTTCTTTGACGAAGTTGGCCACGTCCTGCAGATCCAGAACTGAAATCAACCTAGTGTCATAGAAGTGATCAAAGCCGTACCTGAAGCAAGTTTGTGCATTTGCCCCTATCAATCGGACCATTGCGACCTCCGTCCAACTCTACGACGCGCCACCCACGGTCTTCGTCCCTCGCAGTGACATCGGGCGCCTTAACGAAACAAGTAAAATGGAGATATGTATCCAGATCATCAGGCACCGTGGTTTGTCCTGAGACGGCTGCAGAGGTATGGATCTGTTCGAACAGGGAGGTCTCCTCTAGAACTTTGACACGTTCCAATGGTGTTTTGTCTATTTCCGCAATTAATACATTTCGGGTGCTTGATAGGAATAATTTTTCACCTTTGCATTCTTCAATAAATTTAGCCAATGGACTTTCATCAGCGAAAGCGACACCTGACTAGAGTAATGCTAGCATGAGAGAATAATAAAAGGAAGAGGCTGCGGGTTACGTTTATTAAAGCATGCAGAAGGCCCATGGTTCCGCAAGCGTTTACAATCTAGCCTTCATTAGTAGTATGAGTACGAAAGACCCTCGGTTGATCGAACATACCGTCTGCTTCATCCAGAAAATAATGGGATCGATCGGATACTGCCCTTGAGCGGCAATCTTTTCATCTTCCTCTTTGCGCTTGGTCGCAATGCTCCCTGAACAGGGAAAGAGTAGTGTGACCGCCTTTACACCTCCCGATACCATTCCTAGAAGCTGTATTGTCGTGAACCTGTGAGCATGAGTGAGTTGAAAAGACCAACTTCTGGATCGAGACCATATATGTCCTCGAATTGCGCCTGGGACGCCAGTCCAGCGTTTATGGCCCACTGTACGAGAGCATCATACCATGTAAGACATTTTGCACCGCTAGGAGTTTTTGTCTTACACTGTTAAAGACCTGCTCGTTATCGCATCAGAATGAGAATATCAGAGGCATGGAGAACTTACATCTGGGTTGCTTTCGAGCGGGATCCAGCGAGATTCCGACATGATGATGGACAATCTCGTAGTACTAATAGCACGGCAACACTCAGTACTCAGTACTGAGTTTGCCGAGCACTTACCTTATATGGCAACTGCAAGCTCCGACTTTTGTTCCGACCCCCATGCGCACCTGTTGACGCTGACGCTCGTTGTGTGACCGACCTTGAAGAATACAATTCTCATCGCCTCTTAAGCTTGGAATGACTTGATATATGCCATGGCAGGGAGCGCTCTAGCTCTTTCCTGGTTCGTCCGCTCGCCTCCGAACTCTAGAGCGCCCACCTAAGCTATCCTGAGATAGAAGGGATCATCATCCGAATCACTCAGCGGTAGTTCAAATGGCATGTGCTCTCTTTGCTGGTAAGAATCTTGAAGGACGGCCGACACCTCCGAGTCCGTGGCATTATATGTATGTCCTCGTAGTCTTGGTTGCTAGTGTATTATTAACTTTGTAAATCTCACAATTTGGCTGTAGTATCTGGATGATCAGATGCTTGCAAGACGTTGTGATACTGACATTTCGAATAAAGTTGGTTAGCTTTTGAAACAGTGCTCAGCCTTCTGATTCTACTTCCGCCCGCAGCAGGTTCATCAAAGCACCCTAATTTATACTACGACGTTGTCAATTTACACGAGGATCGGAAGTGAGCTGCGATAGGTCGTCAGTTGACTGTGCCTGCTTGGATCTGAATCTATGGTATGCAGCTTCCTACTCATTCAGATCTGATCCAAGGATTGACGTTATCCCGGATCCGGGGCCCGCTGTGTCGCTCCCGTTTCATAGTTGTGCCAGTGGGCGCTTTCATTGATGTCGAACCGGTCCTTGGGATCTCACGAACCTGACCATCTTGTGATGGAACAACCCCAGATCGGATAGCCGTACCCTCCTTACTGAAGGAACCGTGTCGCAGATTATGCCTCCGTCCTGTTTCCGCATCTCATACTAAACATCTCTTACCAAGCACACTGAGTTTTCGTAACTATAGTCTAAGCCTTGCGCAGAATTTGCGGCGCCGGGCTATCGCTATGAGATTTAGCTGAGTTACTAGCCTTACAACCTAAACCGTGAGAAGAAATTGAGCGTGAGGGACCCGGGGTCCTCTAGCCGCTGTCAGAAGTTCACCGACACTCGATCTATTATTACGCCGAGCTACAGTTCCATATTACGCGGTGCGGATCGAGAAATTTCACATGCACATCGGCGTGGAGTTAATCATGTCGCGAATTCATATCGATAATCTTCTCTTCATTTACTCAGGTGCTGGCAAGAAGTAACAATTTCCCAAATGCACATAAAGGGCTCAAGTCAGAATCATCATCTGTAGTTTCACCCCCTCATCTTGAGCACTAAACATGACCCTCGCCGGCCACGCCAACTATCGCTTTCGTATCTTGAAGGACATCCTTCGAGCACTAGTTGTACCCCCCGTGCTTGTGTCATTGTGTTGTAGGACGTTGAACCTTCAGTTCGGATGGTGGTCGATACCTGCCCATCTCCTGGCCATCCCGCTCGCGGTATTTATCAGAGTACAATATTCTGATTTTGTTCAAGCACGGGAAGCACGGCAACTTGGTGCTAGACCGATTCCCAGAGTTGTCGGGAAATGGCCAGGGAACATTGATGTGATGCTCAAACTCAAGAAAGGGCTCGCCTCTCAGTACATCTGCGAGCCGTTCCTTGATCTGTTCGAAGAGTATCAGTGCACAACCCTCAACACTCGCTTTCTTTGGGTTGACAATGTAGGTGGTCTTGTCTAGATATCTCTGGCAAGTGCTGACGAGCGCGCTCACTACCGAAAGATCATTACCATGGATCAAGAACATTCCAAATGCGTGTTAGCAACAGGATTTGGTCATTTTTGGAGAGGCACTGCACAACGAGAGCGATTGTAAGCAACTTTCTACCCCGAAAAAAAATTCCTAACTCTATTTCAGAGAAAACTTTCTAGGCGATGGAATATTCAACCGGGATGACGAGGTGAGAAACGAGACCTGCTTTGTTACCTGGGTCACAATTTGCTCACAACTATGCAGAAATGGAAATATGTACGACAAGCTGACCACCTGACACTGCTTGATGGCTGATAGGCTATCGTTATAGCACCGTTCACTCGCACGACCCTTTTTCACCCGCAATCGCATATCTGATTTCGAGTTATTTGAAAAATACACGGACCGCACGATGACTGTATTATCAAATCTTGCCTCACGCAACGAGCCCTGTAATGTCCAAGACCTTTTTTCTAGGTTCACCATCGACGCTGCCTCGGACCTTCTTTTTGGGCATAACTTGGATACCTTGTCCAAGAAGCTTCCTGTTCCTACTTCAGGCTTCCAGAGTGATAGAGGAGCTACTACAGATGACTCGTGGGGAACATTTGCTCAAGCTTTTGAAGCAGTCCAACGCATAATCACCATGAGAGGTCGTACTGGTTTCATTTGGCCCATTTTTGAGCTTTTCGATGACAAAACTGCCCCGCACGTGGATGTCATCAAACGATGGCTAGATCCACTAGTAAAACAAACGTTGGATCGTAAGGCGTTAGCCCACAAAAGTGGTATACGGAGTACCATGGAAGAAAAGACTTTCTTAGAACACCTAGCTGATAGTACCGAAGGTCTGTGTTCTTCTCGTTCCTTGCCCGAATTCTGCGCCTCATTCGCCGACAATCTATAGACGCTGGAATGATTCGTGATCAGTTGCTCAATGTCCTATTGGCTGCTAGAGACACTGTATGTACCTCTTCTTCCTTCAGCGCTGATTTCTGACGAGACAGCTCCCCTTGACAGACTGCGTGCCTTTTGACCTATGTGACATATTTCATGGCGTTATATCCGAGCATCGCGGCCAAGATGCGGCGAGAGGTACTCGACGTGTTTGGCAACAATCCTCCTACCCACGAAGGAATTCGTAAACTCAAATATGGTGAGTTTAGATTTCATATGGTGGAGTTTTGCTCAACGACCTTCTTTCGTCAGTCAAAGCGGTTCTTGACGAAACTCTCCGGCTGTACCCACCCGTTCCATTGAATTCGCGACAGACCAGACCTCAGCCTTGCACACTCCCTCCGCCAGATCGTACTTATCTCACCGAATCTCGGCAACCGTTATATTTACCAAAGTCTACGACAATCTGGTACTCGTCACTGTTGACGCAGCGCAACAAAGAACTTTGGGGGCCTGATGCAGACGAGTTTGATCCTGAGCGATGGATTGATCCTCAGAGATTGGCCCGGTTCACATCGAATCCGATGATGTTCACTCCATTTAGCGCAGGACCACGCATTGTAGGATTTCCTTTCGTGATTACAATTTGATCAGAAATCCTGACTCCTTGCCCTTTGACTCTTTTAGTGCATTGGTCAGAACTATGCATACAATGAGGCATCATTCTTCCTTGTGCGACTGCTTCAGCGGTTCGATACTTTTACACTCGCAACGGATGCACAACCCCCTTCCTCCTTGCCACCTGCGGAGTGGAAGTTAGGTCGCGGCAGGCAAAGGGTGGAGATGATTTATCCTGACGCTACGATGACGCTTTTCATCAAAGTGCGTTATCTTATCTTCACTTTGTGTTTCAGCTATATAATCTTACCTCTCATAGGGTGGCTTATGGATAAGAATGAAGAACGCGCACCCGCACTGATGTAATCACTATTTGCTGGCAAATACACTTATCGGGCTCTTTTAAGGGGATATTCACTTATATTGTCATTATTGCATATCTCATACCCACTGGATCATTTGTACTGGTATATGGACCATAGATAATCTAGACATATCTGGCGTCGGCGGCGCCTTCTCGTGTTCCCATCATGTTTCAGGACAGTTCCAGGATGTAGATTCCCATTAAGAATGGACGATAAGCCTCACCTTAGTCTACCGTGTACCTGGGATAAGTACATCCATGATTTCCATCAGAACATACGGGGACACGTGTATAGATGAGGATGACCCGGCCCATCACCCGCACCATGATGGTACAACGTTCGGACATATACGTATAATGTGTCCGATGACAGAATGATTCCACTTATGTCATAGTCAAAGATTGAAGCGCCCGCTTTCACCATGTGGTCTATCACACTCAGGTTACTGGATCATCACCTAAAATAGAGGGACGTGTGGGTCCTGATACACATGGACTGGTCGCATTCAAGATATCATAAAGTGGCATGTCGGCCTCGCAATGAAAAATTGCACCATCTGGTGACCGTCATACCCGAATCCATCATGCTCACCTCGTGGTTGCCCCTAGATGTCCCTTGAAAAAGCGTGTAATCATTAGATGTTAAAGCCACATGATCGGCGATAAATCACTGTCGCAATCGCGGCTGCGCAGGATGTGCAGATCAGAAATGACCGGCGAACAGAATGGGCGCACCCGGTGAAGCTGTGACAACCGATCAAGCAGGTCACACAAGCTAAGCCCAAGATTTTTTTCCCGAGATCGTCAGTGATGCCACGCATTGTTGGTCAGGTATTACTTTACGAGAAGTAAAGGGACCATGCCTGATGGGCCCGCGACAATCGGTAAAACGCTCGCTTTCTTCAACGTGGAGGGAAATGCGGTTCGCCAATAACATATTTAAAACGATCACATTGATGTGAGAAAGATGTGTTCAAAGGATGACGTTTACCATAACATGCGAGGGAGTCAATGAGCAAATGCATCTGTAGTCGAGAACGGGGATCACGGTAGACACGTGGTCACCAGCTACTTTGAATCAAGGGTAATTGAGTTTAAACTTCGCATCGCGATTTTAGGACATGAATGACTCGATCCATCCTTTCTGGATCGCTCGTAACCATTTGCATTATGCTTCAGCGAATATCATTGAACTATTGCAGCTGAGTAACTCACCATCCGACATGACAGTTACGATCACAGTAATCCAGTTTAGTGCATTCAAGATATTGCCCGAAAAAATCTTTGGTAACGAGCCTCGGATGAACAAACTTGCAGCAGCCATTGCAACGAAGATCACATCACCGACACCATTTAA